TGGATTATATGGCTGTGTGGAAGTGCATAATCTTTTGAATCCCTTCTCCCGAGTTCCTTTAAATCTACAACAACAACAACAACTTTATTCTTATATCTTGCCACCATCTCTCCGACATTAGACTAGCACCATCTCTAATGGTATTCCGCAGAAATGTGAAGACCTGGCTGTTCGAGCAGGCGTTCGAATAATGAGTGCAATGATTGGTTAATGAACACTGGAATGGATCATTGGATGACGAATCTGGATCATGTTTTTGATGATGAGACGATAGTGAATAGCTATTGTAGTAATTGTTTATTGTTTATTGTTTATTAATTGTGCAACTGTATTAAGTTGATAACTGCTTTTATACTGTAACATTTAATTCTGCTGTCTCTTGTTGTTGTGAACCGCTGTGAGTCACCTTTGGGCTGAGAACAGCGGTATATAAGCAAGGTAAATAAATAAATAAATAAATAAAATTCAGGGCAGCTTATATGGGGACCAAGCCCAACAAAACATAATAAAATATAACACAATTAAAATATATTACATTTCAATAATGAAAGCAATAAAACCGAACAACAGGCATCATAAAAAAAAATATAAGAACAACAATAACCATCAACCAGTAACTGAGAACAGTGGATGTATTCAAATCTAGGGGCAAGGACTATTGCAATACAGCTGTAAGGGCGGGGGGGGGGGGGGTAATAAAGTGCTACAAGTGCTATAAAATATTGTATCTTTAAACAAAACTTTCCCCCAAAACACAATGTACTACCTTAACTATTATTGGCTGCAGTCAACCATAAAAATACAAAATCTGTAGTAACGATTACCGGTATCTCTCTTTTCCCCTCTTTAGTTTTCTTACATTCTTAGGGACCAGGGTGTTTCTGTAATTATCATAAGATCCAACCATTTAAATCATGTGTAGAGAATAAATTGACAGGGAGTCACTAGATAATACAGGACATACTTAATTTTTTATTGAGTAATAACCAACGTCATTCAAGTAGGGAGCTTCAGAGTTTTAACCAATGATATCTATTTAATTAAGCCCCCTTCTACACTGCCATATAAAATCCACATTATCTACTTTGAACAGGATTATATGGCACTGTGGGCTCAGATAACCTACTTCAAATCAGATAATGTGAATTTTCTGCTTTGATAACCTGGATTATCTGGCAGTGTGGAAGGGGCCTAAGATATTTTTATTGCCTGACACATCCAGTAACATTTGGAAGTTAATCTTGAAAATAATCAACTTTGCTGTAAAATTATTTACTCCTTTCGCTGCTCTTTACTTTTAAATGCCTCTTTCAATCTTTGGAGGAAATATAGTATTATTTCCAAGTGACATATTTTGTCAGCCAAAAGCACTGGAAGTTTAACTTGGGTGCATTTTATTGTCAGTCTGATTAATATGGTCTCCCTAGGAATATCAAAGTTCCTATCTTCAGAGGAGGAGGTATGTAATGTTCATATGCCTTGGCATTTCTACATTTGAGATAGCAAGGAGACCTTTATGAGGTTATGACAAACAAGAAGGCAGACTTTGTAGCTTTAATATTCTCCTGTTTATTATGATTTTCTTCCACAAAATATTATTTTAAAACTGTCGTTGGTCTTTATCTTATCATTTTCCGCTGCCTGTAAAATGATATCTGTGTTAAGAATAGATAGTAGTTTAGCATTCCTTAGACATTTCCTTCACTGGGCCCTCTCACACAGACATATAACCCAAAATATCAAGGCAGAATAACCCACAATATCTGTTTTGAGCTGGAATATCTGAGTCCACAGTGCCATATATCCCAGTTCAAAGCAGATAATGTAGGACTTTATTCAGCTGTGTGGAAGGAACCTTGGAACAGAACTGGAAAATTCAGTGATAAAATGGTGTGCCATTTAAAATCTGCTCTGTGTCAGCATATAATCAGCACTTTGGGAAGATGACTTGTACAAATACCCACCTTCTTCTGCCTACTCAGAAATACTTAAGAAAATAATATTCAAGATGCTCTTCACTGTGGCTTCCAGTCAACAAAGAGAAGTTTCCTTTTCCATTTACCCATGTCAGCTTAGCAAATGGAAAGCGGCACATACCAATTACATTCTCTTTTCTGGCAGATATTGTCAGCCAGTATGCAGCTGCTGTCCTTTTTTAATTTGGTATGTATATATTAACTGATGACTCATGCAATAATTCTAGCTTAGGAAGCCAGCTGCTCTACAGAAATAAACCTTAATGAAACAGAGAGGTGTCCTCAAAGGGTGTCCCTGGAATTTTAGTATGTGCCAGAAAAGTATCCCTGTTAGTGAATGTTGTGGCAGAATGTATTTCGAGCATTAATCTGGAGAACTCCATACAGCAGTGAGTGATCTGTTTTGTATGTTGTATGTAAGAGAGATTATGCCTAGGAAGAATCTCAGCTTAGTTTTTAATTGGAACTAAACATCTGGAAAATGGGCTTGCTTTTTTCTCATGATCCCCAGTTCCTGTGTTACACAGACCAAATTTGTTCAAGTTTTGCTTTGGTTTGGGGGAATGTATGTGGAACTATTGCAACAAACATATCTTGTTTAAATATACAGGCAGTTTCATAAGTACGAACATCTGATTTACAAACAACTCACAGTTAAGAAAGGGGGGGGGGGGGCGCGACACAACAGGAAGTGAAAGAAATCTATCCCTAGGAAGGGAAATTCACTCCTGGAAGAGTTATTAGGTCCTTCCACACAGTCCTATATCCCAGAATATCAAGGCAGAAAATCCCACATTATCTGAGTCCACACTCAGATAATGTGGGGTTTTCTACCTTGATATACTGGGGACCCTTCCATACAGCCCTGTATCCCAGAATATCAAGGCAGAAAATATCACAATACCTGTTTTTAACTGGGTTGTCTGATTTCACACTCAGATAATGTGGGATTTTCTACCTTGATATTCTGAGATATAAGGCTGTGTAGAAAGGCCCTGGGTTATTTGAGTCTACACTCAGATAATGTGGGATTTTCTGCCTTTATATTYTGGGATATAGGGCTGTGTGGAAAGGCCCTATGACATAAAATGAGGAGAAATCTCCTGAACAGGGGCACAGACAGCAAAACAAACACCACAGGGGGAGGGTGTTGTTAAGCCTTCCCTATGCTATCCAACCCTCCCCCCCCCCCTTACACTTAAAATATACCTGCTCCTATTTACATAAAATTTAGCTCAAGAACAAATGTACAGAACCTATGTTGTTTGTAACTTTGGGACTGCCTGTAATAACCGATAGGACTTCAAACAGAATCAAGAGCTGAGGGATCTGAAATATGCAAGTCCCTGTGTCATTTCCTCCAACATATTTTTATCTGCCTTCCAGTTCATCCCAACATATTGCAACCCTGAGCAAGTTGTGTTTGGAAAAAGGCTACCACTGTATTCCTCATTTTAAGGGTGTCACTTGCCCAAGGTCACCTGGTAGTTTTCCACAGCTAAACAGGGATTCATACTCTGGCCTTGCAGAAGTCCAACATTCAAACCACTTACACTCCCAGCCAGGGATTACAAACTGAAAAGTGGAGGTGGTTCCTGTAGCTGTGGCAGAAGATAACATTTTGGGTGGAATGGCTTATTATACAACCAGGTCACAAGCTAGTAAAAGTAAAGGTAAAGGTTTTCCCTGACATTAAGTCTAGTTGTGTCTGACTCTGAGGGGTGGTGTTCATCTCCATTTCTAAGACGAAGAGCTGGCGTTGTCCGTAGACGCCTCCAAGGTCATGTGGCCAGCATAACTGCATGGAGCGCCGTTATCTCCCTGCAGAAGTGGTACCTATTGATCTACTCATATTTGTATATTTTTGAACTGCTAGATTGGCACAAGCAGGGCCTAACAGCGGGAGCTCACCACGCTCCCCAGATTTGAACCACCTTTCAGCCAGCAAGTTCAGCAGCTCAGTGGTTTAACCTGTTGTGCCATCAGGTCACAAGCTACACCTCCTTAAATCCCCCTTTCCACACAACTCAGGACTCTTCTAAGTTTCCAATCGGACACAACTCTACAACACAAGATCTCATTCCAAAAGATTATAGTCATATCCAACAGAAGAGTCAAGTGCTACCAAAATATGTGGTTTACAAACATAACGTGCCCTTCTGAGTGCAGATGGTCATCAGTTAATCATTTTCAACGTGTGTCATACAGTTGATCAGAGTACTGAAAAAATAGATCTCTTCCCATCTGCCCCAAAAAGAGGGAAATGGGAGGACATTCTTCTATGTCCTTGGTCCCTCAGAAGTGTCCCAGTCTCCCAAGTCAAGAAAAAGGTAGGTTCGGAAGGAAGAAACAAGAACTGAGGTCCCTTCCACGCATCTGAATAAAATCCAACATTATCTGCTTTGAACTGGGTTATATGGTTATGTGGACTCAAGTAATCCAATTCAAAGCAGATATTGTGATATTTTCTGCCATGATATTCTGGGTTATTTGGCTGTGTGGATGGACCTTTAGTGTTTTTTTAAAAAAATAATAATAATAAAAAGGAGGTGCAAAGCCAGTGAGTGAGTACGACTACACTATGGCATTTTAGTTGCGTATTGATGGCAGCTAATTTTAACTATTGATTGAAAATGTTTTTAAATGGTGCATTTTTATTTTATTTTATGTGTTGATAGTGGTTGGATTGTTGTAAGTTTTTCGGGTTATATGGCCATGTTCTAGAAGCATTCTCTCCTGACGTTTCACCTGCATCTATGGCAAGCATCCTCAGCTCGAAAAACCTACAACAACCCTGTGATTCCAGCCACGAAAGCCTTCGACAATACATTGATAGTGGTTGATATATATATATATCATTATTATCATTATTATTATTATTATTATTATTATTATTATTATTATTATTATTATTATTATTATTATTACCCTTTCCAGTAGGACTTTGTATACTAGGGTGAAGCACTTGCCTGCTGCTTGCTGATTGGCTCCCTTTCTCCACCTCTTCCTTCCTATTGGCTGAAGCGCGCAGCCCGGCCTGATTATGGCGGCGGGGGCTGCGAATCCGTGACTGAAGGCCATTCTCTCCCTTCTTTCCGCTCGGGATGGAGGCGGCCTTGAAGCGGGAGCTGGGCACCTCGGTGCTGCGGCCGGTGGGCCACTCCGGGGGAGGCTGCATCAGCCAGGGAGAGAGCTTCGACACGGACCACGGGCGCCTCTACGTCAAGAGCAACGCCCGCCCCGAGGTAGGGCCTGGGCTTCGGGGGAAAGGACCCCCCTATTGTAGAATGAATGGATGGGGTTAATTCATTCATGGCCCAGTGCTGCAGAGTCACGAGGCTCCTGATTGGGGCAGAGAGGGCTCGAGGCCTTGCCCAGCTGCCACCGCCCAGGATCCCAAGGCCTTGAGCCCTCCAGGTGGTTTGGACTTCAACTCCCACCATGCCTAACAGCATATAACTATAAATCCCAGGATGGCATAGCACTCAGCCATGGCAGTTAGAAGTGGGGTCAAACTTCATTCACTCTATGACTGTAGGTGCACACTTAGTAAATCAAAGTGTAGAGTTTTCCACAAATGAGAAGTTACAGCCAGCTTGTATAAGGTTAGGGATTTGTAAGAAGGCTTTCCTGATCAGAACATTCAGGTGCCTGAGGCCCAGGCCCTTAGCCAGGATTTCGTTTCGGGGGGGGGGGGGGGGGGTGGGGGGGGGGGGCTGATTTTTTTTCAGGGGGGTTTCGGGGGGGCTGAGTTTCGGGGGGGGGCTGAGTCTGAGTGAAAGAGGGTCTACCCTAGCAAACCTTTTGTATCATTACCCCAATACCCCCATGCATATGGGATATATTGAGTATGGTGATCAGATCATGTATGAATAAACATAACAGTTTAAATAATGCACCAGTAAGGCCTTTTCGCAAACCACCACGAGAATTTGGGGGGGGGGGCTGGAAGCCCTCCCGCGCCCCCCCCCCCCCCCGGCTACATGCCTGCTGAGGCCCCTTCCACTCAGCCCTATATCCCAGAATATTAAGGCTGAAAATCCCACAATATCAGCTTTGAACGCGGTTATCTGAGTCCACACTCAGATAATGTGGGATTTTCTGCCTGGGATCTAGGGCTGTGTGGAAGGGCCCATTGTGGGTTATTCCGCCTTGATATTCTGGGTTATATGGCTGCGTGGAAGGGCCCTGACTCTCTTGAATTCCTGCTGTGCTCACAGTAGAAATGGCCACTTGCTAGAGAGATAAACAATTGAAAGAGGGCCGTTTAGATAGAACAAATTAAATAATCAGACATGACCCATCGGTTTGCTAAACAATCACTTTTATGTTCTGTGGTGTCTCCTGCTTGTTCTGATTAAGTGCTGAGAAGGCAAATGTATTCACAACTAAACTTCTGGGTTTGTGCAGCAGCAGAATTGCCAATGGGGCAGATAGATAGATAGATAGATAGATAGGCAGGGCTCCATTGGGTCTGTTTTCTCCTTTTAAAGGTTTCTGAAGTTCTGAACTGTAGGTTGAGTATCCCTAATCCAAAATGTAAAATGCTCCAAAATTGTCCACATAATGACACCTTTGCTTTCTGATGGTACACACGCTTGGTTTCATCATGCACAGAATTATTATAACTATTGTGTTTAAAATTACCTTCCAGCTTCATATATAAAGCAAATATTTATTTATTTATTTCCAGCATTTCTGCCCCATCCTTCTCAAGGGGGACTCAGGACGGCTTACATTTGGCACAATTTGATGCCATTAAATATAGCAAAGCAATATAACAACAATTAAAACAATAAATAGAACATTAATTAAAGCAATAAAAACAGTATTAACCGCCGTATCACCATTCTAGTCTAATTCCATATCCAAAGTGCTGTTTATGCCTGCTGTCCAAAAGCCTGGTCCCAGAACCATGACTTCAATTTCTTCCTAAAAGACAGGAGGGATGAAGCTGATCTTACCTCGTTGGGAAGTGAGTTCCACAGGCAGGGGGCTACAGCCGAGAAGGCCCTGTCTCTCGTCCCCGCCAGATGTATTTGCGATGCTGGCAGGAGCAAGAGCAGGGTCTCCCTAGATGATCTTAAACTGCAAGGCGAGACGTAGTGGGAGTTGCGTTAGGACAAGTAAACTGGGCCAGAACCGTATAGAGCTTTATAGGTCAAAACCAGCAATATGAAACAAGAATGAACTTTGCATTTAGACCTGGGTCCTGTCTCCAAGTTATCATGTTATGTATGTGCAGATATCCCAAAATCTGAAAAAAATAATCAAAATCCAAAACACTAAGTATTTAGATAAAGGATACTCACCCTATATTGGCCAGATTACTTTGATTGGTTTATTTCATTTTAAAAGGGAATCAGATTGCTCAGACATATAAAAAAGGTAAAAAGATCAGAAATTGTTGGAAGCGGACAATAGAATTGCTCTGGAAGACCTAAAGATTCCTTCAGGTTCCTTCATGTGTTCTCTCTGGAAACCTCTAAGTCCCCATCTACACTACCATATAAAATCCAGATTATCTTCTTTGAACTGGATTATATGGCATTGTAGACTCATATAATCAAATTTTGAAGCCGATAGATCCAGCATGATCAGAGGAAGTTGACCACAGAGTTACACTAGAAGACCTAGGATTTCTACAAAGAATATTTTTGATCAGATCTGTAAATAATCAAATCAGCAAAAGTAAAAACCACAAACATGGAGGGATAAACAGTACATGATGATGATGACGATTTGATACACAACAAGTTTAGTACACATCAAGCAAAATCACTTTGCTGGCTTTTGCATTGGATCACATGTCGGACACTTCCCAAGTGTCTAGGACTGTGTGATGTATTGACAAATAATGCATGCATATCTGAGTAGGGTGGCCTTTTGCAGCTGACAGATAGTAATTTTGTCAGTACCTATTGTTTTTAAGTGCAGGCCAAGGTCTTTAGGCACTGCACCCAGTGTGCAGATCACCACTGGGACCACCTTTACTGGCTAGTGCCAGAGTCTTTGCAATTATTATTATTATTATTATTAGGTCTTTTACCTTGTACGTCCTTGGAAGCATAACAAGTTAGAAAGAAGAGCACATGCCTTAGAAAGGAATTGTTGACTGGACTTGGTTCATTTGCATGTGTTTGCTGAAAAAAAAATCAAGGAAAAAATTGTAATCTAGCATATATAAAAGTAGCCCTTGGACTGATGAGTTCAAATTCCATCTTGGCCAGAAACCATGGTAATTTACTGAGCCTTTGGAGCCCCCGGTGGCGCAGTGGGTTAAACCCCTGTGCCGGCAGGACTGAAGACCAACAGGTCACAGGTTCGAATCTGGGGAGAGGCAGATGAGCTCCCTCTATCAGCTCCAGCTCCTCATGCGGGGACATGAGAGAAGCCTCCCGCAAGGATGATAAAAGCATCAAATCATCTGAGTGTCCCCTGGGCAACGTCCCTGCATACGGCCAGTTCTCTCACACCAGAAGTGACTTGCAGTTTCTCAAGTTGCTCCTGACATGACAACCCCCCCCCCCAAAAAAAACCCTCAGCCTTTATTACACTTGTTGTTCAGAAAGCTTTCCTGTTCACACATGAAGTGGAGAGGGGTTGCAATGGTCTGTGTTTTGTTTCAAAGGGGATGCACAGCTAAAGTTAGTAGAGAGTTGAAACCTGCATTGCTATTTTGGTAGCTCCATTATTTAAGGTGCTTACCCACCATTTTTGTTTGGATATTAAAAATAAGCTGGGCTGAGAAAGATGTAAGCATGTTGTATTAATGGACGAAGCAGTAAATCGTATATTTTAGAGTACTTCTAAAAGCCTTTTCTTTTTATCTGACAGGCCAGAAGAATGTTTGATGGCGAAATGGCAAGTTTAACGGCCATCTTACAAACTCACACTGTGAAAGCTCCTAAACCTATGAAAGTTATTGATCTGCCAGAGGGCGGTGCTCTGCTTGTGATGGAGCATTTGGATATGAGAGGTTTAAACAGGTAAGTTTAACTTTTAAGTGTGATTTAGTTGCCCACTTGAGGACAAATATCAGTGATTCCATATCCTAAAAACAAGTGAATTCTAAGGAATGTATTCATATGTTTAATCCATAGTTGAGTGATACCTTAACGCCCCAATTATTTTTATGTAGCCCTCTGAATACATTACAGAAGATCCTACTTTCATTTTAAAAGTTACATTTATTGTCCTTGTGCCTCAAACTGAGTTGAAACCTACATGTCACCAGTGGTTCTCAACCTGTGGGTCCACAGGTGTTTTGGCCTACAACTGCCAGAAATTCCAGCCAGTTTACCAGCTGTTAGGATTTCTGCTCTGACCTAATGTTTGTGTGTTGATCTGAGATAAGATAGTAAATTCGTTTATTTGCATTGGAGGTTTGATGTATTTGCTCTAATGAGATGCCTTGAACCCCAGAAAGGAAAAACATGAATGAAAAACATTATCTCTTCTTATGAGCTTAATGCCTGAAGATAATTTTTTCTACAAGCAAAATACATGTAGATAATCACAACATGAACTAACGTATGAAGTGGTTTGAATGTTGCATTAGAAGACCAGGATTCGAACCTCTGCTTGGCCCGGAAATTCACTGGGTGATCACATTTTCTCAGCCTTAGAGAAAAGGCAAAATTATCTGAGCAAATTCTGTCTGGGAAACTCCCGTTTGATCCAAGATGCTGGCTGCACCTTCTCATCATCATAGGCTATCACTCATTGCCGAGTATGATTGCCTTCCAAGTGCTGGTCGCAGCTGACCTCCAGCTGGAGCGCTCAAGGGCCAGGGCTTCCCAGTTCTTGGTGTCTATTCCAGAGTTTTTAAGGTTGGCTTTGAGCCCATCCTTAAATCTCTTTTCCTACCCATCAACATTCTGTTTTCCATTCTTGAGTTGAGAGTGTTGTAACTGGGAGACAGTGATTGGGCATTCAGAAGTGGTCAGTCCAGCAAAGTTGATGGCAGAGGGTCATCGCTTCAATGCTGGTGGTCTTTGTTTTTTCCAGCATGTTGACATTTGTCTGTCTGTCTTCCTAAGAGATTTCGGAGGCATCGATGATGGAATCGTTCCAGAAGTTGAGAGTGACGTTTGTAGATAGTCTACGTTTTGCAAGCATATATCAGGGTTGGGAAGACAATAGCTTTATAAACAAGCATCTTGGTATCCCTACGAATGTCTCAATCCTCAAACACTCTCTGCTTCATTCAAACAACTGTTGCACTTTTAGAGCTCAGACCATGTTGAATTTCAGTGTCAATGTTAATTTTTGTGGAGAGGTGGCTGCCTTGGTAGTTGCCAAGGTGATGGAAATTGTCAGCCTTTTGTAATGTCACACCATTAAGCTGTATTTTGGCATTTCAGAGGGATTGGTTGGTGTCTGCTGAAAGCACCTTGGTTTACTCAATGTTCAATGAGAAGCTGAGCTTTTCTTATGCTTCTGCAAACATGTTTAGAGTAGCGTGTAGGTCTTCTGAATGAGCACAGACTATATTATAATCAGCATTCACCTCCTATAATACACAAGTATTAATCATATATTTAAATGCTTCAAGGAACGAACAAGATACAAACCCACAACATATACCAGCAAACATAAAATCAACAGAAAAACCAATGCATCAGTCAATTTAACGCAAAATTAATATTTGATGAAACAGCCAAGTTTTGACTGCTTGTGATTAAAAGTAACATTTTGGTTTCTTAGGCATTCAGAAAAACTTGGATCACAGTTGGCCGATCTCCACCTTCAAAATCAGAAGCTTGGGGAGAGACTGAAAAAAGATGCAAACACTGTTGGTAAAGTGCTTTGTCTTTAGCTGTTTATGACTTGCTAAATAAGACTGTAGTTGTAAAATTGAGCATTTGCTTTTTGTTCTATAAAAATCATTAGACCATTTCTGTTACATATGTAGTAATGCGAGTATCAACAAGATTATTCTCTACCTAGACTGAAACAGAGAAGGCTTGTATAAAATTATACATTTTGAACATTTAATAAAGCTGCGGAATAATTGTAGTTAATATTGTGGTTAACATGTTTTCTTATTGTGCTGTACTCTTTGAAATAATCGGCTCTCCCTCCCTTTTTCTTTATTTAAGGTAAGGGTGAAGAACATTCAGATGTCCAATTTGTGGAAAAGTTTGGGTTCCACACTGTCACTTGCTGTGGTTATCTTCCACAGGTAGTGTCTACTTATTTGTTTCTTTGGAATGTTTACTTTTTATGTTGAGAGTGATATGAAGAAAAATATATATGTTACACTTAGATTTTCATTATACTTGAGACTAGCTTTTAGAAAACAACTTAACACCTGGTTATTTAAGAAGGCATTTGGTGAATGACAGAAACATGTAAATATAGAAGTAGTTAAAGATATCCTCGGGATTGTGCAAGGCCCGAATGTTTTATGTATTGTATGTGACTGTTGTTTTATAGTTTTATAATTTTAATGGTTTTACTCTATTGTCCTTATTGTTTTGATATATGTTGTTTTATACATGTCAAGCATTGAATTTTGCCATTGATTATGTTGAGAGCCTCTTTGAGTCCCTCTAGGGGTGAGAAAAGCGGTATATAAGTGCAATAAATAAATAAATAAATAAATAAATAAATAAATAAATAAATGGAGATAGATAAATGTAGCTGGTTTAGAGTCCAGGACTAGTATTACAGATTTACCTTTTGGTACAGGTATCTTGTTCTTCCTTTGCTGTGAAAATAACTGTACCTACCTATCTACCTATCTATTTATTTACTATATTTGTACCCCACCATTCTCAACCCCTAGTAGGACTCAAAGCGGCTTCACATATCGGCAATCATTAAATCCCTTAAAAACATACAATTGGTAAAAGCTATGGGATGGTTTTAGTAATACCCAATTAAGACCTATTAGAACCCAACATTAACGGCCACTCTGCAAGGATTTTCTATAAAATGAATAGCCTTAGCAAGTGTTGCTGAACTTGTCATTTCAGAACAACTGATCAAGCTTTGTGAGTTGTTTTTGTTGTAGCAGTTTGATCTATTTACATTAAAGAAGGAAGAAATAAATTCACTTTTCAAAGCAGCCATTAGTGGAGTCTGATCCTATCGTGCTGTGTGTGGGAGTTTCCACTTATGTAAACGAAATCTGCTTAGTTTCAGCACTCCTGTTGAGTTTGCTGTGAATCAGAACCCCGCCCCCCAATCTCTCTATTTGGTTCTTTAATTAGAATGCAACAATTTAAAAAGAACTTTGCTATAGAGCTCTCCTATAAAAATTGTAGTTTACCATTTTTGTACAGTGATCATACCGATAACATTCACCTGTGGTGATTTGACCCTCATATCTTCAAAGCAGGATTCTCACTGGATCCACTTCTGTATTCTCTATAAGATTATTATTCTTCCTGCTAGGTCTTGGTACTAGGCATAGTGTCCTGGCAGTAGGCATGTATAATGATTCTCAATTTGGGGGAATAGACAAGATATGAATAGTAATGACAATAAATGAGATACAGATATTTTTGCATTCTTTACTTTCTAGCACATAGATATTTGAAATTGGAGCTTTATTTTATTTTAATGCAATTTGTTTATTATAAGCTTTTCTTAATACGTAACACCTTTTGCTATTTCCACCTACAGAATTCACATCCTTTTTTAACTTCATCCAAACCCTAATTCCATTTGTCACTCTCACCACATCAGTCCAATAATACTTATTCTTTGTCTTTCTGCTAGTAACTATCTATATACAAATAATAATACTGCCCAACATTTCTATCATTGAGTTTTCATTCACTTTCCTAATCATATTTAGTATATCATATCACAATACCAATGTACAGCCTAAGAAAAAAAGGTATGTTTCTCACCAGAGTATACCTTTTTAACCCTAAATCACTTCTACTATCACAGAAGCCAGTAGGAGTAGGCAAGTTTAAGTAAACTGCTATGACTTAACTATCCCTTAACCTTTGGTTGTCCATCTGCAGGTGAATGAGTGGCAACAGGATTGGGTGACTTTCTATGCAAGGCAGCGAATTCAGCCTCAGATGGACATGATCGAGAAGAATTCAGGAGACAGGGAAGCGAGAGAGCTTTGGGCAAAACTCCAGGTCTGTTGGATCCTTAGAAGGCATTCTCACACTTGTAAAATCACTGATTATTTTCAAAAGTTAACAAAGCTTTTGCTTACCCAACATCCTTGAGTAGGTAAGGAACAAGCCCTTCTATTTTAATTTTAAGTAAAGAAATGACTTTTCAAGTAGTTCAGGTTTGAGCTGTAATATATTAAGTAAAGTAGTAATTAGAAAGTGAGATCAATAAGAACTGATCAATCTATTTGGGCATACTTTTGTTAACAAACATTAAACTGGTGACTTCTCCCTTGATCCTATTCAATCATATGTGTTTCCATGCAACCAGTTGACTCTTGGTGATGAATTTCATAGGGTTTTCTTAGACCAGGAGTACACAGATATGGTTTTGCCAGTTCCTTCTTTTGAAATGTCACTTACAGAACCTGGTATTTGTTAATGGTCTCCCATCCAAATACTAACCAGGCTTGATCCATTGGAGCTATTAGTTGGCATAATCAAATTATAAATTAAAACCTTTTCCTTTGCCTTTACGTTAACATTGGTAACTCTTGCTTTTTTCCTCAGCTCAAGATCCCCAGTTTGTTTGGTGATATGGAGATAATTCCTGCTCTTCTACATGGAGATCTGTGGGGAGGAAATGTAGCTGAAGATGACTCTGGGCCAATTATCTTTGACCCTGCAGCTTTCTATGGCCACTCTGAGTATGAATTAGCAATTGCTGGGATGTTTGGTGGGTTCACTAGTTCATTTTATTCTGCTTATCACAGTAAAATCCCCAAAGCATCAGGATTTGATAAGCGACTCAAGCTGTACCAACTATTCCACTATATGAACCATTGGAATCACTTTGGAGGAGGTTACAGAGGTTCCTCTATCAATATAATGAAGAATCTGGTAAAATGATTCCCAATATCAAGGTTTTATATCCCTATTTGAAAATATAGGTGTATACCTCACCTGTGCATGTGTTCCAATAGATCCTGGCTTTGCACATCTGAAAGACCTTGCTATGTTCCAGGTTTAGCTTCCCACTATTGACATTTATCGAAGAGCTATTAAAGAGGTAATGAATCCTAGATTTGCACAACAAGATATTTGCTCTTTAGATGAGGCTCTGGATCTGCTTTGATAAATGGAACTATAAAAAATTATTTGGGACAGGGTAGTTCAGAGAGAATCAGTGAAGAGGGAAAACCAAATAAGACCTTGGATCTGGATTATATTGCTTATCTCCTGGGTTCATAAAAGATATATCCTGAGTCGCCTTCGGGCTGATATGGGTGGGATACAAATATCGTAAATAAATAAATATCCACAGGTTGATTGGCAAATCTTTATTAATGTAAAAATATTTTTCTTCATAGTGACACACAAGAACATTTTGGGATTTTTATTGTCCTTTTAACGAGATTACTCCCAACCTTGTATTACAGTAATGAACATCAGAGAAGGAAGCATCTTTGCAACTGTATTTCATTGGAAGTGTGTCATCTGGGTCAAGGTGGTTCTTTTGTTGAGCATTCTCAATATGGCTTCAGTGGTGACAGTCTATGCCTTCAGCATTTGAATTCAGAATGGACCATTCATATGTACCTCAATTTGTAGTGATTTGTTACAGTCTAATTTTTTCTTCTTCTATGGAGTTTCTATTAGAGCCCATTCCTAGCTAGTACAGTCTTGGCCTACAAATAAATTGGTTGCCTGTAAGGTGATGTTCTGTCACTAATGAGCTAGCTGTATCTACGGATATATGTAGCCCTCTCAAATTTAATTTCTTATGGCATTCATTCCTTAGAGGTCTTCTTTATATTGTGTACCGAGCTCCTCAGAGCTGTGGTAAAATGAAGCCGAATTCTTGTGGGAAAAACAATAATGCGGAAAAAACAAGGACAGTGCCATAAAATCCGGAGATGTGTTCTGTCCATTTTCAAGCCATTATACCCTGCTTTTAAGGCAAGACTCCTTTTAAGTCTTGCTTTTAAGGCAAGACTTTAGCTGCTGCTCTGTAGGCAAAAAAAAAGTTGTTAGGGCAGAAGAACCCAACAAGGAAAACTGCCAACATTATTGCTAACTAGATCCCATCAGAACAAATCATCTTCAAAAAAAAATCCATTGGAAATGCTATTTCCTAGAACTATTTTTCTCCATACAATTATACTATTCCTGGCTGATACTGAAAGTTTATTATCAATGCTCATTGGGTGACCAGGTGGCAGCTTCTCCCATACTGTGGCATGATGGAGTGGTAAATTGAAAGTGAGGGAAGAAATTCTCTTTCGCTGTTAGTTAGGGATTTTGATTCTACCTCCTGCACTAATCTGGTAGGTTAAATTGGCTGTTAGAAAGTTATCTGCAGTTATTGTCCCACCCTTTTCTGTCTTAAACGTTGGTAGGCATATTAGTTTCAAAACTCTTCTGGAAATGCTCCGGAATGGAATCTGTAAAATGATTCACCTTTTGGCGGCCAGCTCAGCTAAATCAATGAGTATTCTCCCAATTACATAACCATTCACTTTGCATTGTTCCAGCAGTCCTGAAGGGTTTTTAGATGTAAGTGCTGCTCTAATGGTACTCAATGAACCTAGATCTCTGTGAAGACATTAACATAAAAATATTGTGTTCTGGATGGGATGTCACATATAAAGGGGTCTAATGCCTAAAAGCGTATCACAAATTTTCTAGACAACATTTTTGACAGCAATTTTACTTTTGTTTTCTTCATTCTAAGATCGCCAGTTATGTAAAGTGCAAGAGTCTTCATGTGAAACTAAGACTGTTTTTGTTTGCTTTGTTTTGACATTCCATTGCTGTTTTTCTTAAAAGCTTGGTTTACCCTAAAAAGAGTAAGACTTACGAAGTTATCATTAATTTTAATAGAGTGTGTTTTGATTTCAGTAGTAACATCGTTGGCTGTTTACTCTGGATTTGGAAAAAAAACCTCAAACATTTCTCATGAGTATAGCTTTTCCTGGTGTTGAAATAAAATATCTTCCATACTGTTTAATTTGTCTTTATCTAGTTAGAAAATATAAGTGATAAAAATGGATTGATATTATTGTCTGGAGGGAATATACTTATGGTGATAGGTTTTGCAAACATTTTGGAAAAAAGGTAAATATCGAACACATAGTGCACTGTACCATACTCAAAGGGAAGGCAGACCTTCAGGCTACTGGGATCTTTCTTACTTGAACTCAAAGCCAGATAGAAAAAAGTGTCTTGTGGTATCTGTTGCACCACACACTTTCATTCTATATAAAAATATAAAGTTATATATGGTTTATTACTGATCAGGGACTATAACAGAGTAATTTGGATGTAAAAATTGGTATTTTAAAAGCATTTGAGGCCAAACCCCTATTAATCACTCATAGATCTACTAGACCAGTGGTTCCCAACCTTTTTTTGACCAGGGACCACTTTGACCAGGGACCACTCTCCAACATTAGTACCAAAACAGCTACAAATAAGTTTTTGGTCCACTTTAGATTTGGTTTGGTTAGTTGGGGTGTTGATTCTGCATTGGGTAGACCACATCAGCTCTAGTTTCTGATACAGAACATATGCCATCCCGTAGTCTCCATTTACTTGCCCACAGAACACCATATTTAATAATCTAGAGCTGATGTGGTATATCAATGCAATTTTCTGAATCGGCACCCAAATAACCCCAGGAACAGGAATAAAAAAAGACACCAAGGCTATTCCGCTTCCATGTGCCACATGGAACAGCTCAGGGAGAGGGAGGGAGGAGGAGAAGCAGCAGTGAAGAGGCTTGTTATTGCACCTTTCATGAGTAGTCAGCCTCTCTCTTCCCGACACCTCCATTGCTTCTGTACTATAAGGGTTTTGCGAAACCAGTTGCTCTTGTTGCAATGCTGTGGTAATGGTGAGGCTGCGGACCATATTTTAGTTTTTGGGGACCATTGGTGGTTCACGGACCACAGGTTGGGAACCACTTTACTAGAAGATTGCAATCAACTGCAGTAATATTTTTTGTTCCCTTGCTTTCTTCATAGTTCAAGGCAGGATACAACATGGTTAAAACACAAAGATAAAATATAATTCTATTTAAATGCATATTTTCAAATACACACTGAAAGCACAGGCAGAGTAGGGAATGCCCTTGAAAACCTTGGAAGGCCATATTCTCCAACTCAAATTTTCACCATGTTTTGGGATCTTCCTGGGCCCAGAAAACATTTTGAGGCAAAAAGTATTTACATTTTTGTGCCCAAGAACTGCTTTGACCAAAGAGCTGGAAAGCTCCCATCCTGGTAGAAATGCCCTCTATGTGCCCTAGGGCAATTTTGAGACATTTGAGTGCAATTCTTTTCTCTGGATTAAAAAAAAATTACCTCTGTGGGCTGTCACTGGCTGTGCTTTGCCTGCAACTTATTTTATGTGCCTTGCCTTTTTCTATGATGGCCTTATGAGACCAGGTCTCCCTCCCTGTGCAAGAGATGTAAAAACCCAGACTTTTCATTGACACTTCTAGTATTAAGTCTTCAACCATATAGGTCTGGCAGTAGTGGTGCATCTACACTGAAGAATTGATGTAGTTTGACACCACTTTAACTGTCGTATCATAATAATAATACTTTATAACCTGCCCCCTCTCCCTGAAGGGACTCTATGCTATGGAAATGTGGGAGTTGCAGTTTGGTGGGGCACCTGAACTATTGGAAAGATAAGGTTAGAGACCTTGAAAAACTACAACTCCCAGGACTTAGCATCGAGGCCTGGTAGTTAAAGTGAGATCAGGTTGGATTAATTGTATAGTGTAGATGTACCTAAATATTTAAAACGAACTCGAATTTACCCCATTAGGTACTGTTTTCACCCATCTTGCTTTGGACTGTTAATGTTGGAAGTGTGAATGACATTAAGTTTCAAATTTGTGCAACATTTTTATTGTTTTCCCAATTCAGCATCCAAAAATATATCAAAACAGCTACATTATTGAAAGCAGTAGAGGTCTGAATTTCAGGTGTGATACTTAAATCCTCTAAGACAGCTTTGAAGTGTCATGAACACTTATCTATCTATCTATCTATCTATCTATCTATCTATCTATCTATCTATCTAAATAAATGTAATGTAATGTAATGTAATGTAATGTAATGTTCGTTTGTGGGATTAACATAACTCAAAAACCACTGGACAAATTGTAGCCAGATTTGGCCATGAGATACCTACTAACCCAAAGAGTGACCATCACTAAAAAAATGATTTTATCATTTGGGATTTATAGTTAACCTACAATCAAAGAGCATCCTGAACTCCCATGACCAACAGAAAACACTAGAAGGTTTTGGTGGGCATTGGCCTTGAGTTTGGGAATTGTCGTTCACCTACATCCAAAAAGCACTGTAGACTCAAACAATGATGGATCTGAACCAAATTTGGCACTGATACTCCATATGCCCAAATATGAGCACAGATGGAGTTTGGGGAAAATAGACCTTGACATTTAGGAGTCATATATATCAATCTATGGCTGAATTTTGTCAGGAGAGCTTTGATTAAGTTTTCTTGCCCTGGTGAAGGGAGTAGGACTGGATTGCCTTAAGGCAGCATTTCTCTACCTGTGGGTCGGGACCCCTAGAGGGTCAGGAGGGGGTGCCAGAAGAGTTGCCAAAGACCACAAGAAACACAGCATTTTCTGTTGGTCTTGGGGGTACTGTGTGGGAAGTCTGGCCCAATTCTATCATTGGTGGGGTTCAGAATGCTCGTTGATTGTAGGTGAACTATTTTTTTTTGTCTTGTCAGGAGCGACTTGAGAAACTGCAAGTCGCTTCTGGTGTGAGAGAATTGGCTGTCTGCAAGGACGTTGCCCAGGGGATGCCCAGATGATTAGATGTTTTTTTAAAATCATCCTTGTGGGAGGCTTCTCTCATGTCCCCGCATGAGGAGCTGGAGCTGATAGAGGGAGCTCATCTGCCTCTCCCCGGATTTGAACCTGCGACCTGTCGGTCTTCAGTCCTGCCGGCACAGAGGTTTAATCCACTGCGCCACCGGGGGCTCCAGGTGAACTATAAATCCCAGTAACTACAATTCACACACACACACACATATGTATATGACAGATATAGTATCCTAGATTTGACAGGGACTCCTAAAGGAAGACAATTATATGTTGCATGTTCCAGAGTAGGCAAACCAGGCAATCTCTATACCAACAGTGACAAAGCAACAACGAGAAATACTGTTTACCCACAAGCATAAAGAATTACATATATTAGAAACCAACACTTTCTGATTACTTTATTTTCCAGATCACCAGACTGGGCCACAGCAACGCGTGGCAGAGGGTGGCTAGTGTCCTAATACATGACAAACCCCAAGATTCCTTGGTACAGGAATGGGTAGACTTCCGCCCTCCAGGTGTTTCGGACTTCCAACTCCCACACGAGTGTGGGTTGAAGTCCAAAACTTTGGAGGGCGGAAGTTTGCCCGTTCCAGCCTGAGCAGATCGCCCTAGCAATCCCTGCGTCATCCGGAATAGCCGCACAGTATCAGAAACAGAAGAACGCCGGTCGCCATTGGGTAGCGGTGTCACGCGACGAGAAGCTTCCTTCTGGTTATTGGCCGCCTGCTCGCTGGTGTGGAGACGGGATTGGACCGCGAGGGCGGCTGTGGGCGCGGCTGCGGAGGGTTTGCCCGCGCGCGGGCGGAAGCGGCAGAGCGGGCTCCCTCGTGCGGCGTCCGGGCGGAGTGAGGGAGAGAGGGAGGCTGGATGTGGCGGCGCCTGCTGGGGACCATGTCCGCGGAGGGGGCTCCCTGCCGCCGCCCGCGCCCGCCCAAGGACGCGCTGCGGCACCTGCGCTCCCGGGAGAAGCGCCTGGGGGCCCCGGGGGCCTTGGCCAAGGGCGGCGCCAGCACCGTCTTCGTCCAAGTGGCGGCCGCCGGGACCCGGGACGTAGGAGCCGCCGTCTACGTCTTCTCCGAGTACAACCGGTTAGTGGGGCCCCTCCCCCATGCGGATCCTTGCTTGTTACACGAACCGCCCCCTTTGGGGTGCGTCTACGCTGTAGAATGAACGCAGTTTGGCGCCGCTTCAGATTGTGTTATGGAATCATGGGAACTGCAGCTTTAGAAGGCCCTTCGCCTTCCCTGGCAACGAGTGGTGGCGACCTACCAAACTGCAGCTCCCATGGTTCCAAAGCATGGAGCCCTAGCAGTCAAAGTGGTGCTGAACTGCATTAATTCAACAGTGTAGAGCAGTGTTTCTCAACCTGGCGGTCGGGACCCCTGGGGGGGGGGGTCGCGAGGGAGTGTCAAAGGGGTCACCAAAGGCCATCAGAAAACACAGTATATTCTATGTACAGACCTCACTACTTCTGAGGATGCTTGCCATAGATGCAGGCAAAACATCAGGAGAGAATGCCTCTAGTTTCCAACAGACCTCACTACCTCTGAGGATGCTTGCCATAGATGCAGGCGAAACGTCAGGAGAGAATGCCTCTACACCAGTGGTTCTCAACCTGGGGTCCCCAGATGTTTTTAGCCTTCAACTCCCAGAAATCCTAACAGCTGGTAAACTGGCCGGGATTTCTGGGAGTTGTAGGCCAAAAACATCTGGGGACCCCAGGTTGAGAACCACTGCTCTAGACCATGGCCATACAGCCCGAAAAACAAAACTACAACAACACAGTATATTCTGTTGCTCATGAGGGTTCTGTTTGACCAAATTGTCTCATTGGTGGGCTTCAGAATGCTCTTTGATTGCAGGCGAACTATAAATCCCAGCAAATACAACTCCCAAATGCCAAGGTCTATTTTCCCCAAACTCCACCAGTGTTCAGATTTGGGCATATTGAGAATTCGTGCCAAGTTTGGTCCAGGTCCATCCTAGCTTGAGTCTCTGGATGTAGGTGAACTACAACTCCAAAACTCAAGGTCAATGCCCACCAAACTCTTCCAGTATTTTCTGTTGGTCATGGGAGTAAAATGAACTATAAATCCCAGCAACTACAACTCCCAAATGACAAAATCAATCCCCACTGCCCAACCCCACCAGTATTCAAATGTGGGCGTATCCGGTATTTGTGCTAAATTTGGTCCAGTGAATGAAAATACATCCTGCATATCAGATATTCACATTATGATTCACAACAATAGCAAAATGACAGTTGTGAAGTCGCAACAAAAATAACGTTGTGGTTGGGGGTCACCACAACATGAGGAACTGCATTAAGGGGTCGCAGCATTAGGAAGGTCGAGAACCACTGGTGTAGAAGCCGCCCCTCTTAAGGGAAGCAGTTCCTCCCATTGCCACAGGGGCTTCTTAATGTCTCTTTCAGAGAAGCTCCTCCTCACTTTCATATGGTTGGAACAGCATGGGCCAACTTAGGCCCTCCAGGTGTTTTGGACTTCAACTCCCACCATTCCTAACAGCCTCGGGCCTTTTCCTTTTCCCACTCAGCCGCTTAATGTTTCCCTGCTAGGTTTCCCCTCTCATTATACTATGTAGCAACATTTGAAAAATGTTCTGTTCCTGGTTTGAAAGTGTTATTTCTTGTTCAATTGTACATACTTACTTTGAAACTAGTTGTTAAACTCCAGAAACTTTCATTTTTGTGGCTGCCACAAACTGTGTTGAATTGGTTGAGACTCTATCAAATATTCATTGAAAAACTTTAGCAAAACGTGCTGCAGGTTGTCTCACAGAAAACAGAAATTTGTGTGCACTGAACCATCAGAAAGCAAAGGGGTTCTTTTTCAGCCACTCATGTGGACAGCTTTGGATTTTGGAGCAATTTCAATAAGGAATATTCAACTTGCATTTCTCATTTTGACATGAATGAATAGTCAAGAATGCTGGTTGTAAAATAACCATAAGCACTGAATGTTGTTCATAGTATTATGTTTTTTATTCCAGGTACCTTTTTAACTGTGGGGAAGGTGTGCAGCGCCTCATGCAAGAGCACAAGTAAGCATAAATAGACATTGAGGTTGCAGTCCCTGAAGCAATTCAAGGTAATCAAGTGTAAATTTAATTGAATTGAAGTCCTTGACGAGTGTTATTTTCACCACAGGTTGAAAGTGGCTCGCTTAGACAATATCTTCCTCACTAGAATGAACTGGGCAAATGTTGGTGGTCTGTCTGGTGAGTTTGGCCAATTAATATACCGTATTCTGTGTTTAAATTGTATTATTGTGAGTTTCCATGACAGGCAAAACTGTGGGGTGACACAAACGCACACACAGCTGCTGATGAATGATTAACCAGGCTGATCTTTCATTGGTTAATTGTATGTAGTTCTCAGAAGCACATGTCTGAGAAGTACATTGTTCATCACTTAAATCCAGCTGTTTGAAAGTCTCCTGTATGAACATGTCTATGTTTAGAGATTTCCAGAGAAGTTCCTTTCCTTGGTTTTGGTTCCTTCAAAGGCAGGTTTGGTGGGCTTTCTTAAGAGGGTGCTTCCAAACTCTGGAACTCCTTTGGAAAAGTGAGGCTAGTTGGCTTGGACCCTTCCCTGTTTACAGGGAAGATCAGAGAGGTCAGCTGCACTACTTGTAGGAAAAGTAGAATATAAGAATATTGAAAGTTCTATGATTTTCATTTAATAAGTATTAATTTTTGGAACTTGTTAACTGTTATCAAGTTGACTTTAATTTATACTGACCTTATGATTAGGAGAATTCAAGTTACTCTGTTATCAATAACACTATTTAGAGGTCTTACAGAGATCTATGGCTTCCTTATATAGCAGTGGTTCTTAACCTGTCGGTCACCAGATGTTTTGGCCTTCAACTCCCAGAAATCCTAACAGCTGGTAAACTGGCTGGGATTTCTAGGAGTTTTTTGGCCAAAACACTTGGGGACTTACAAGTTGAAAACCACTGTTATACAGCCAGCCCTCCACATTTGCGGATTTCATTTTTGCAGATTTGTTTGTTCTCAAATTTAATGAAATTAGATGAATTTCTAGGGTTCTCTAGGTCTTCTGGTGAAACTCTATGGCAGACTTCTGTTTATCATAGAGTCATGTTGGAACCTCTTTAGGAATCAAATAGGCTGAAATGGGCCTTGGTTGACGCTTTGGCACTTTAGTTGTGTATTGATGACAGCTAGTTTTAACCATTGAGGGGAAGTATTTTTAAATTGTGGATTTTATTTTATGTATTGATAGTGCTTGTTTATAATTTTTATGTGTTTTATACTCCTGTACTTCGATCCCGCCTTCGTCACAAGTACGGTTGGCGGGGACGAGAGACAGGGCCATCTCAGTGGTGGCCCCTCGGCTATGGAACGCCCTCCCCAGGGATATTAGATCGCCCCTTTTAACATTTTGAAAGCAGGTCAACGTGGCTCTTTGAGGAAGCATTTGCAAACACAATATAAGAGACATGGAGAAAAACGGAACAACTCGACGATGTTATTGGATAACGCTTTTAACTAAGAGTCTCAAATTGATATATGTTTTTTATTGATATTGATTGTTTTACTTGGTTTTATATTTAAATTGATTGTTTTTAAATTGTATTTTATGTCTTTGATATTGACTGTAAACCACTCCGAGTTGCCTGTGGGCTGAGAGGGGCAGTATATAAATGTAGTAAAATAAATAAATAAATAAATTATTATTGTCATCATCATCATCTTTTGGTACCCATTTGGTGGAAGTTGACCATGAAGTCTTATTGTAGATGCGAGATATTCCTGGAGAGATAAAAAGCAATGTTATTGTTTTAAGTTTTTAAGTTTTGCATGTGTCCAGTGCCCCTAATCCCAGCAAATGTGGAGAATTGGCTGTAGAGTTTATCCACCTGGCTCTTCCTTTTTTCCTAATACTTCTCCCTTACTGAGCATCATTGTATTTTCTAGTCATATGGCCAAAATATGATGATGTCTCTTTTTAGTCATCTTGGCTTCCAGTGGGAGAGTTCAGGGTTATTTTATATTTTTTCCAGTCCATGGTATTGGTAATGGGTTCCTCCAATTTCGAATGAATTGATTATTTTCCTTTCTTCACTGACTAGCATCTCTGCAATTTCAGACTGATGGCACTTTTAAGGGTCTACCTTGTGCTTTTTTCCAGGAATGATTCTTACTTTAAAAGAAACAGGGGTTCCAAAGTGTGTGCTTTCTGGGCCTCCGCAGCTGGTGAGTGGAACATTTCCTGCAGTGATTCATTGTTCAGTCCTCCATCTAAGAGAATGACAGTAAATGATGAGCAGTCAATGATTAGCCATACAAAGGAGTGATGTTGCTGCAGTTCCTAAGCAATTTCTACATGAGTCTCATTTGGTTGGCATCCTGCTTTGGAATTGTTCACATGCATATCGTCCAAACTTTTCATCCAAATAAAATGTATTGTTATTAAGGTACCAGAAAGTTTTATGCCTTTCTGGTACCTTAATAACAATACACTTTATTTATATTCCTCCCTTCTCCCCTAGAGGACTCAGAGCAATAATGTCGTATGTTCCATAACAGGAAACAGCACAATATTGGGAGTTTAGCATATAGCTAAGTCTATGTAATACTCTCTGTTGACAGGAGAAAGCAGAGTTGGGAATTTAAAGCTTATTATTTTAAATTCTGTGGCATGCTAAATGTTTACTTTCTTTCCCACCACCATTTATAAGCTACTTAATTCTATATTCTCCTTATAGTTCTTGATTTTATATTTCAAATAGTATGTGAAAATGCAGGACATATGATCAGTTTGTGTCAATGTCTTCACCTTCTACTTGTAAAAAATAATATTTTGCAAGCTTGTTGTTGAGTTTGCAGTTAGGTAATCCATGTGATGTTACTTTGGATACTTGAAAGAAAATAGTGTGTGCTTCTATTTTGCTCCAAAATATATGAAGTGCTGCTGTTCTTGACTTTTTCTCATTGTATTTGTTTCAGCAAAATTATCTGGAGGCAATCAAAGTATTTTCTGGTCCATTAAAAGGAATTGACCTAGGTAGGTACTGCAGTTCTGTACATTATCAATGGCATTCTTCAAATCTGTCCTTCCTGCAGACCGCTGCTGCAGTTTTATTGATTTAGTCACAGGCTTATTTATCTAGGCCAGAGGCTAACATCTTTGCAGTCATCTTTGATATTGTGACAGCTTATTTTGTGATTTGTAATTGCACATTTACTTCAAGAGCATCTAGCAAAGCAGTAATGCTTGTATTGTTTGGTTTTTTTAAATATATCTTTTAATTTAGATTGGTCTGTGTAGCATTATTCAAGCACAAAATATTATTTAAAATTATTATCTTCGGAGAAATATATCTACGAACAAAACCACATTAGTGCTTAGTTGTTGATGTGCTTTGTTCCAGCTGTGCGACCTCATTCTGACTCAGAATATCAAGATGAAACAATGACTGTCTATCAGGTTCCCTTGGTGGGTGAGTAAAATAAGGTGATATTAAGGGGTTGGTGGAATTTATTGGATTAATTTTTATTTTCATAGAAATCTTATGCACAATGGTGCATCTAAAGGTGAAATTCTGGATGATCCTGGGGTGGAACAGTAAGAGAAAACATATGGATGGGGTGGGGGCAGTAGTTCTTTCTTATCAATTCGACAACTTCCTGTTTCTGGTGCTTAATAGCTTTTATGATGGTGCCTATTGTACTTACTATATTTATTCTGACTGCATCTTTGTTAGAATAAGGTAATATGCTGTTTGATCCAAACTCCTCTTAGTAACTTAAGTTGGCATGACAGAGTTGCATGGGAGTTATGCTAACATAGGTACATTTTTGATATTCCATAAGATGCCAGCTAATGCCATGTTCTATAGTGACAGCTGGACAATGCCCAATACAGCTCTGTCCCTGACATAAGTGACCACTGTGGAGGGATGGAACAGCTCTCTGGTTTCATCCTGAGTATTAGTCTATTGGCAGAGATGAATGCCTCGTCATTATTAAATAGGAACTTGTTCTTCGTGAGCTTTTTTGGCTGAATATGTTTTGAATCCAGGACTCACACATTTATTTAAAACTGCACTGTGTTCATAATAAGAACTGAAACCTTGAAAATGTTTTGTAAGACATTTATTTTCTGTTTTACATTGGTTCTGTATTGATTTTGTGCTGCTTTTTTGTAATTTCCATACTAAAATTGATAAGTGATATAGTGGTGGTTAAATGATAAGTGCTAACCAAATTATATGCTCCTTTGTAAATATGCTATTGAAAAGGTATTGAAACAGTTTTAGTAGAAGTGCAATTTAAATACAGTCTTCAGAGCAGAAAGTCATATATTTATGATCCAATGGTACTCCCCCTCCATTTTTCCCTCTTCTCCCAAAACAGGCAAAAAGCTGCAAGATGAGCAAAGGCCACATCTGAATTCTCAACCGCCAGTCGGTGATGTAGACCAAAAGCATATCATGATGCCAGGATCTCTGCCTGCAGAGCATCAGTCCCTAAAGGGTGACAGGAGTAGGGAGTCCCCTGAGAAAACAGGTGAAGAAGTTGTAGTGTTTGTTAATTTGAAAAAAAAAAATCCACTGATGAATTTTTAAGATTCAAGCCAACAGGTTGGTAATTGTAAATCAGAGGAAACTGGGTTTCGCTTTAGAACCTCCAGTTTTGAGCTGCAAGTGTCTGCAAATGAAGGGCTTTCTAAGGCCTTGTTTGGTATCAAAACCTCATACATTTCTCTGCTGTCGAGTAAGCGTTAATGGTAAACGGCAGACCTCTGTGGCTGGAGAACAGGTACCCAAGCTGGAATGGGCCCCTGTCACAAGGTAGAAATTATGTAAAATGGATCATTGAGGGCTATATGGGACAAAGGAATTTGAATTGTGTTGGAGTGACTAATTCCCCATCCTAATTGCTGTGACAGCAGTCCTAGCATGTTACTTAACAGGAAGTTTACTCTCCCAGCATATCCTTGATCTGCCAGGCTAAAGTGATTTAACCAGTGGGGTCTTCTGAACACAAAATAACCTTTTAAAAATGTTAATAAAACAGTTAATAATGTTTGGCTGTAATGCCTACAAGGATTTTAGAACTAATGGCAGAGGACCACTATATTTATTTATTTATTTATTGCATTTGTTGACCGCCGTTCTCAGCCCTTTCGGGCGACTCACGGCGGTGTACAACATATAAAAACAGTTTACAATACAACCCTCATACAACACAGTATATACGTAACATCAATAATACAACAATAATTACTCTAAATCATCCGCGTCGTCTCTTCGTAGAATCATAAACCAATCTCGTATTCCATATTCCGTTCCAGTCATCAATGCCAATTGTTGTAATACTTAGTTGAACGCCTGCTCGAATAGCCATGTCTTTAAGCTTTATATCCCCTGATTGCCTTCTCATTTGCCCAATTTCACCAGTGGGAATTCTTTGCGAAATTTCATTATGAATTTCTGGCATAACAAGGCTAAGGCGCATGCCTGTGTCTCTGCAGTTTGCTTCATTTTCACTTTGTATTACAGGAGGGTCTCCAATACCTGCTTTCAATACCTCATCACTTTGTTGGGGTGGCATATTGTCCATCCAAGATTGCAAGTCCTTTGTAAATGGAAGCAATAGAGCAAAGGCATAAGTAAACCTCAGATAGTCCACGGGCAATTCAAATGGTTAGGTCTGCAGGATCAGCCAAATATTCTGGGGTCTATCTTCAATGTGATTTTTTTTGGCATGAAAGTCTGCTGGTTTTGACAGGATGATTTTTTTTAAGTTATGTAAAAAGCTTGAATCTTAAGTACAGGGTTTTCTGTGTTTTCTTTTTAAAGATGGTAGGTGGCAGGTTGGTCAGAGGGATCCATCTCTTGTTGTTGCATTTATTTGTAAGGTAAGAGCTGTCTTGGAAAACATATGTAATCTACAAAAATTTTGTCTTATACTAAAGCTTTGATGGGTATTGTTTACAGATGGGATGCTTTGCTTTGAACTACCACTCCCGTAGTTGCTGTAGCATCTTTCCTCTGAGACAAAGTTGCCTTCAGTTTAGAAAAAAGATTCTCTATGCTTTCTATCATGCTTCAAGGACTAACTTCATTTCATTAAATTAGTTGCTTAGACTTGGAAGCTTTTGTTTGGCTTATTAATTTAATTACATGTTGGCTTTTCTCACTTTTCCAGTTTTTCTGAGTTAGAGAAATGCAAAGGTAATTGGCCTTCAGAATGAAAAATTCTAAATGAGTATGCTGTGTGTGCATATGAAGGATAATATATGTCTGTAGAATTGGATAGCTGTGAGTTTTCCGGGCTGTATGGCCATGTTCCAGAAGCATTCTTTCCTGATGTTTCGCCTACATCTGTGACAGGCAATCTCAGAGTGTGTGAGGTATGTTGGGAACTAGGCTAGTGAGGTTTATATATCTGTAGAAGAACTCTTGTCTGTTTGTGGCAGGCAAAACGTCAGAAGGGAATGCTTCCGGAACATGCCATACAGCCCAGAAAACTCACAGCAACCTAGTAATTCGGGCTACAAAAGCCTTCAACAACACATTGTCTGTAGAATTACAGACATTCGTTCTGCAGGGTTTTAATCACTCTGAAAATGGTGCCTGCAGAATTGCGTGTTTGGATGTTCTATAATTTTTACATAGGCTTCATTTTAAACTCTAGTGCTTGTTCTTTATTCCTATAAAGACTGCATCCTTCTATTTCCTGTTTGGAGACTACAAGATAAAGCTCGCTGTCCTTGTGTGGTATTTTTAATATTAATTTCAGAAGATATACAGTTTAAAGGAATAGTTTGTTGTAATAGCAGTTGTTATACCGCGAAAAGCAATTGAAAGAATTACAAAGAACAGGTCACTAAAAGATCTTTGTTTAACCTCAGCTTCATCCAAAGAAAGGGACCTTTTTGGTGCTCAAAGCAAAGGCGCTTGGCTTGCCTGTGTAAGTATAAAAGGATTTGCACTAAATATTTATAAGCAGTGTCTTCTTGCATGTTAATCCTCTGAAGCTGCATAACTTCTTTGCTTTATTTTTTTTTAGTGGCACTGCAGCAATTGCTCCCATCATTGCAGCTGTGAAGGATGGGAAGAACATCACGTTTGAAGGCAAAGAGGTATAGATTTTGGAGCAGCTTTTTCACTTATGACATTTATTGGGTCTCAATCTGTGGAAGTGTTGGAATGGGTTAGTCTATGCATCTATTGATATTGATTTGTTTATATAAACTGGGGAAAGAAGTGATAGCCCTTCACAGGGCTGGCCCTAGGTAATTTTCAAGTGTAAGCAAACAGTATTCCCCGCCCCCAAACCAATTACTGAAAAATAAAAGGTAGAAAGTAGTGAATAATAGAGTTACCTTACAAACCAGAAGTTTACTTACAACACTGTGTTCATATAGTTACATTACATAGAATTAACACAAATTAAATTTTTTAGAATGCAAATATTTTATTAAACTTAGCAACAATTTTAAGTTTTTGTTGTTATCTACTACACTGCCATATAATATCCATATTATCTGCTAATATCCATATTATCTGCATATTATATGGCATTGTGGTCTTATATGATCCAGTTCAAAGCAGATCATGGGATTATGTGTTTGATAATCTGAATTATATGGTTGTGTAGATCCAGACGAATGTTGCTTCTGCTTCTACAGGCTCCTTTACCCCAGAATCTGATTCCGGGTTATTTTCTTATATAACAATGGAGATTCATATAATTCAGTTCAAAGCAGGAAATCTGCGATCAGATCCTGGGACATAGGGCAGTATAGATCCAGTTTAAGAAACTAGGGCCCCTTCTAGACTGCTATATAAAGTCCAGGTTATCTGCTTTGAACTGGATTATATGGCATTGTAGACTCTGGGCCCTTCCAGACAGTTGGCACTGCCAGATAATCTGAGATAAACAGAAAGCCTGGGATCAGATCCTGGGATATTGGACCTATCTGGAAGTACCCTCATATGATCCAGTTCAAAGCAGATATTGTGGATTATCTGCTTTGACAAATCGGGATTATATGGTAGAAGGGGCTAGAATGAATGTGGTCCATGCAGTGCAGTTTTCTGAATCAGTGCCCCAATAAACCCAGGAACAAGCCTAAAAGTAAAGACATTTTTAAAAATTTTGGTTGGGTTATATAACTATTTAATTTTTATTAAAATAATTATAATTGTAATTTAATTATAATTAAGGTAGATCATCTGCACTTGCAAGAATTGAGGAGGGGGGCTCTTTTTCTAGGCACGAGATTACAGGTTTTCCTCTCGGGCCCCTTCTACACTGCCATATAATACAGATTATCAAAGCAGATAATTAACATTATCTGCTTTGAACTAGATTTTATGTGTCTATTCTACCATATAATCCAGTTCAAAGCAGATAATATGGATTTCATATGACAGTGGAGATCTAGCCTCATATAGCCCAGCTCAAGGCAGATAATGTGGATTATCTGTTTGGATAATCTGGGTTATATGGCAATATAGAAGGGGCTACAGAGAAAGGAGGACAATATTTGCTTTGAACTGGATTATAGGAGTCTACACTGCGATATAGTCCAGGTCAAAGCAGATAATCTGGATTTTTGTATGGCAGTGTAGATGAAGCCTTCGGCTTTAGTGTGGAAGGAAGACAATAATTGCTTTCTCAGGCCCCTTCCACACAGTTGTATAAAATCCACATTGAATTGGAGTATATGGACTCAGATAACCCAGTTCAAATCAGATATTGTGGATTATCTGTCTTAATATTCTGGGTTATATGGTGGTGTGGAAGAATAGGGAAGGTAACAAGACACACCACTCAATTACAGAGCGATGATTCCACTTTAATTTTCATGGGTCCATAATATGGAACTCTGGAATGTACAGTTTAGGGGAGGGGGCTTTGGGGCACTCAGGCTCCTTCCACACAGCTGACTAAAATCCCACATGAACTGCTTTGAACTGGAATACACAATCTGCACCTTCTTTTCTTGAAAGCAACTCCCCTTTACCTTCAAAATGACTTGTTTCCAGGTCCATATTGTTTGGGAGAGCACTGGATAATAGCTTCCATTCAGCAGGTCTCAGGGCAAGACATGAAAAGGGTCGATTGGGTCCGGGGGCGCCTCAAGAGCGCCCCTCAGGGATTTGCGCTATATGCAAATGCGTATCTTGCCTCTTGCTTCAGCCGCCCCGGGCTTTCACTAATTCTGAAGGAGGTTTAAAATAAATTGGATATCCTCACTATTCACTTAGGGCTGACTTCCCAAGCCAAAGACGCGATGTGAAGTACTTGTAAATAAGTCAAAAATATTCCTTCCATCTGATCTTTTTTAAAGGTGAAATTTTACTGTGCAATCTTATTCACTTGTATACAGATGGGAATATTTCTGTTTTCACTGAAAATTACTGCGGTATGAGTGGGCAGCTAGTATTTTGTGGCAAGCCAAATGCGTCTCTGTTTTCTTAGAGGCTAAATGATGTTAAGATGTGGCCACTGATGTCCATATTATTTGAAAGTTTTCCAGGTGGCTCTTTGATTGGGAATATGACTTCATTCCCTTCATCCCCTTGCATGGAGAAGGCAAAGGAAAATGGAAATGGGGAATATTTAGGTAGAGATTTGAGAGTTAGCCAGGTTCTTATTTTGCGATTCAGTGGACACTTAAGAACTGCATTTGCGCTTGCCCTTACCTAATGGGGAGTAAGAACCTGGGCAATTCCATTTGTATTCCTTGGCTGCACTTCACTCACCAATTGAGAGAGCGAAGAGGAGCATTTTGATTACAGATAACATTAGGGTTCCTACATTATGCACCTTCTCAGTTGGTGGGATGGGTCTTATAGGAGTAGGAAGGGCTTAGGTAAGAGGAGTGTCCTCTTCTCACACTTTATGGACTAGATACAGACTTTCAGTGAATTAGAGTTTCCACTTTGGTGTATATGGCTTCAGCCAAAATGTATTGTATTTGAGCACAGCATGTTCCATTAAAGGTTTATAGCCCATTTCCCTATTAGAACATCCTGGTAGAAAATGTGTGTTGATAGTGCGTACTCACAAGTATGCCTTGTTGCAGATCCTTGCTGAAGAAATATGCACCCCCACAGACCCTGGTGCAGTCTTCATCATAGTGGAATGCCCTCACGAAGGTTTTATAGATGCCGTCTGTGAAAATGACACACTGAAAGGGTAAGGTTAAGAGCAGATCAGTCTGCCTTCCCATACAGAATTTTGATAGGGACTTCTTTCTTGTTGCCTGTATCTGTATCTGACTCCTATTTTATTGGTGGTTAGGCCAAACATAGTTCTGATAGACAATGTAAAACTTCTATCTGGCCACAGTTGTGGATCTCTGCACTCCTGCATACATTGTGAGGAACTAGGAAATTTCTTACTTGCCTCATAAGGATGTTTTAGACTATCAGGGTTAGAGTGATATAAAGAAGAATGTGAAACCAACCACTTTGCCAAAATATACATTGAAAAACACCCTGTCCTTCCTCTCCAGAAGTGTGTATAAAGAATAATCTGTTTCTTACTTTGAGAACTTCTGCTGTACATTCATTGCTTTCTTACAGGTATCAAGAAGGAAAACAGGAGAATCCTGTGGCTTTAGTGATTCATATAACACCTGAACCGATTCTGAGGGACAGTCGATATAAACAATGGCTAGAAAGGTTTGTATTTTGGATAAGATTACGTACATTGTGTATCAACTGTTGGAAAAAATGGCAGCTTGTCTGGTGCTTGTGGTTATTGGGGAGAGCATTTTTGAGACACAAGAGATGCTTCACCTTTCTCCTAAACGTGTTGTGGTGAAGATTGCCTTGAAAACAGAAAATGGCTTCTAGATTTAATATAATAATAATATTAGTAATAATAATAACTTTATTTTTATACCCCGCCTCCATCTCCCCAAAGGGACTTGGGCAGCTTACAAAGGGACAAGCCCAGATAGCACAGAGTTAAAAACATAACGCAATAAGATAAAATTGAAAGAAACCAAATAAAAACATATCACAATAAAACATAACATCATAAAAACAGTACCATGCTGAGTTTGGAGGGCTCCAAGTTTGTGCAGAGTTCCTAGATAGAGCTAAGGGAAAGTGCAAAATTCAGTAAGGCAGGGCTGGAGAAATAATGTCCTTGGGCATTAAAATGTCAGGACTGTTGAGCGGAAGGCCATGCTAAAGTGCTGGAACTTAGGTAACATTGGAAATGTGTGGTATCTATAACAAGCAGAGTGCACTGCATGCACTGCAAAATGAGCTTCAGGAAGAAAACGGGGAGAGAAATGGGATACTCTTGTAAAGCTGAGGCAGTGTCCAGCCCCTGTGCTTTTTGCAGTTACTCCTCCCTATAGAGTAAGGGTGAGTAACTACAAAAGCACAGGGGCTGCATCTGTAATTTCCTGTACAAATTGGCATCTTATTCAGCACAGATGGAATTCGGTCAGAAATGAACACTAGGCTTTATTGGCATTAATGGTCTGGAATCTAGTATCAACTGTGATAGCATGGTGCTAAAACTTTACCACTTATGCTGTGTCCTTTCAATGTCCCATGTGTTTCCCATGTATTTTCATCAATCCTTAGATCAGTGTTACTGTGATAAAAGCACAGGGTCCATCTTGAAACAAAGGCAAGCCACCTTACAAGTTCAAGGCCACTGCGAACATTGGAGCTTCCTGGCTTTCTTAGTAAATCTCTATATTGAAAGAATGGGCTAATTTTCTTACTGTAATCTACTACACACATGCCCTGTGATTTGAAAAGATGGCCAATTAACTATAGAAACTGTTGCCTACGTATAAAATTTTGCATGTCTCTAACTACTGTTAACATTATTGTGCAGTTCATTGAATGTATCCTCAGATAAATAATGTGCATCCTTTTTAAAAAATGAAATCACTCCTGTCTGGGAGGCTAACAGACAAGCTAAGCTTTCACATTATGAATGACATGCTATTAACATTTCCAATAAATAACGTCTATGGAACGTATCCTGCTTTTTGGCAGGGCGTTGGACTGGATGGCCCACAAGGTCTCTTCCAGCTCTATGATTCTATGAAAGGAACCCTGGGAAAATATATCTTTTAAAGCAGGAAGCTTGAAAAAGGGCTAGACCTGTAACACAAATGCATTGAAAACAATTTGAAATGTAGTTGCACCAAATAAATGAATGAGAAACCCTACTAGAAGATAGGCTTCTAATTGATACGAACCTATTCTCATTCCGTACAATTTATATCATCTCACATCAAATGTTAACATGCAAGTAATGAGTGTTTCGTTTTCTTTTATCCACCCAGATTTGGATCCACTACTCAGCACTTGATACTCAATGAAAATTGCAAATCAGTACATCATCTCCGAAGCCACAAAATTCAAACCCAGCTCAACCTTATCCATTCAGAGATCTTTCCATTGCTCACCAACTACCAAAGCAAGGTAAAACCACTAAGATAAAGTGGTGTGATTCCCAAAAAGTTGTCATGACACATTCTTACATCTTTCTATTTGCCTAGGAAGAAGAAGCCACGTTCAATGTGCCGGTTACGCGAGGAGAGTGCCTCCTCAAATACCAACTGAGACCCAAAGCAGAATGGCAGAGGTTAGTGTCCACTTACCAGACTGAACTAGCTCTCCTTATTCTTATTTCCTCTCTTCCTCTCCCTTGACAAAATAAATCTTTCTCAAGTTAAGATTTGTTTGTCTAGGCTCAATATTGACATTGTTACTGTGTTTTCTGGTCATCTCTTGTTCTTTGGAGATCAGGGTTATTCGATTCCATTTATTGTTTATTTGTTAAAGTTTATTGTCAGCAACTGTAAGCATTGCATTTATAATTTCTATTTGTTTTAGGATTTCCAAATTAGTTTCTTGCTTCATTTCTGCAATGATTGTCTAAGTTCAACACAGGGTTTGTTATAAAACAGGCATGGGCAAACTAAGGCCCACGGACCAGACACAGCCCTATGGGCCCTTATGTCCGACTCTCAAATTTTCCCCCGTCCTTTAGGCATAAGGATGCGGCAGCTTGCTGTGTCCTTGTGCCGAAAGGACAAGGGAGGAAGGCACACAGCAGCTGGGAGCCCTCTAGAGTGCTCTCAGTTGCCATGTGCCTTCCTCAGGCCCAACTCACGGCACAAGGACAGGGCGAGTGGCTGTGTCTCAATGCCAGGAGAAGCCTAACATGGGGGAGGAGGCAGGCGTAGGGCGAAGCGGCTCCAAAGCTGCCTCACCTACCGCCTGCCTTTCCCTTCTTCTGGCATCAGGACGAGGCGAGACCCTGTCCAGATGCTGGGAGAAGCCCAGCCCGGGCAAAGAGGCAAGTGGCGTGCCTCCCGTTTGAGGAGAGGCCCCGTCCTGATGCTGGCAGAAGGGAAAGGCAGGCAGGGGCCGAGGGACATCCAAAGCCTCACCTTTCTCCCAGCATTCTTCTGTAAAATAGAGTGGTATTAACACAGTCCATCCATTAGATGGTGCTATCATCTATTTAGGGAACAAATACAGATTCAAGGGAGAAGGCAAATCCATCCTAGTTCCAAAGAAACACAGCATGTTTTTTTTTTTTTTGTTCAAGGTCATCCAGCTGGGCACAATTTGTAACACAAGATTAGAAAAGACCAAACAAGTTTAACAATCAAAGCAGTCCACTTTAGTAATATTCAAAGGGGAAAGAGAGAAGTATCAGTTATTCTTTAAGTAGGCTTAGATTTTGAGTCAAAGACGATTTTTTTTTGCAAAAGTCACCTCCTCTCCCTCACTGTTTTTTGATATTATTTTGAATCAAATGGTATTTAAAGTCCTTTCTTTTATTCTGTCCAATAGTCTTAAAAGACCTTTATTTTAGCCATATTTTTACTGCCTTTTTGTCTTTACTTGCCTCTTGCAGCTCTCTTGCCGCTTGTTTCGAGGTTCTCTTTGAAGCTTATTACTTCATTGCTGTATTTCTTCTTTATTACTTCAATTTCTTCTTTATTGCTTTATTGTCTTAGCTCTTTCTCCCATCGTGTAGTGTTCAATCTCAATAGTCTTCAGTACATTCCTGTTTCTTAAAATGTCTTTATGCTGATCTCCAATGAAATGAAGATTATCTCACTGTTCCATCCAGTTTCCTCCTCCTCCTCCTTCATTAAAACTCACAATTCCCCAAGGCTTTATAAAGGGTTTTAAGGGGCTCGGGAGAGGGAAGGCTTCATCTGATTGGTTGACAGTTTGGCTGGTGAACAGCCGTGTTGGATTACGTACATGCCTTTTTCACCTTCTCTTCTCTTCAGTGGTGGGCATCTAGGGGGCTGCATGGATTTGCAGCCTCCCCAGACAATTCCTGTTGTTTGGAAGTTCACAAGGTATTTGCACTTCTCTTGACTTTATTTATGTTAGCCAGATGATTTTACTTTTGTAGGAAATCACATAATACATGCTTGGAAGAGGGTAGACTTCCAGTTTGACATGGTGACAGGCTGACGGTAGAAGGCTTCTATGCCGCTGCCATCTGTGTAAATTATGTGCTTTCCTGCAAAAGGAAATTCCTCTGGCTTACATACATAAAGCCTCTTTCTTATTACCTGGAGCTTATTTTAGCATTACAATCCTATTATTTTATATTTAAACAACACACAAGTTGATATTGTGTTATCTGTTAACACAGGGGTCCTCAAACTTTTTAACCAGGGGGCCAGTTCACTGTCCCTCAGACCATTGGAGGGCCAGACTATAGTTAAAAAAACTATGTTCAAATTCCTATGCACACTGCACATACCTTATTTTGAAGTAAAAAAACAAAACGGGAACAAATACGTTATTTAAAATGACATGTGAGAGTTGCAGTAGCCCCTGCAATCAAAGAGCATTTTGAATTCCCCAACAATGGAATTTAACCAAACTTGGCATGCAGAACTCCCATGACCAACAGAAAATACTGGAGAGGTTTGGTCAAAATACACTCTTCCAGGCAGCAGCCACAGCGCTCCAGACTCATCGCTGCCTCCACCTCCTCCAAGGAAGAAGAAGAAAGGGATATAAAAAGAAGAAGAGGAGAAAGAGAGAAGGGAGAAAGGAGGAGGGAGAAAGGCAAAGAAAAAGAGAGAGGAAAAGGGGAGAGACTGAAATGGGGAGAAAGAGAGAGAAAGCGTAAGGGGGAGAAAGAAAGAATGAAAAGAGCCCTGCATTAGCAGAGCCAAGACTGATTCCACTGAGAGGCAGGCCAGATAAATGCCCTTGGTGGGCCGCATGTGGCCCGCAGGCCATAGTTTGAGGACTCCTGTATTAATAGGACATCATGACCTAGCATGGAATGGAATGTTATCAACCTACATGTGAAACTATATGTTACAAGGACATTTGGGCAGAATACACAGTGGGAGGTGTAAGTCACTTAAATATCTGTTTCTGCCTCTCAGTGTAAATTCAGGCATGGTTTACTTTTAAAACTCTCTATAAAAGTAAGTAGTAGTAGATCATGAGATTCGTTGTGAGGAGAAGTATATAGAACACTGAAGTATGGGTGAATGAATCATTTTTAAAAGTGCTTTTGATTCATACTATTGTCTGATGTGTTGGATTCCAACTGTGTGGAAATTACCTGGGTTCTCAGGTGAAATCTGTAAAGACTGTTCAGGGCTTATGTATTTTGCTTATTGAAGGACTAGAGGGCATTTGGAGAAAGTTATGAGGAAAATTTAGATGTTCTATCTCACACCCTTCCAATTTCTGACTTTTTTTTCAGGGAGGCTGTTGCAGTTTGTAATCCTGCTGAATTTGTAGCTGAAGCTTTGGAGTTGCCTGACTTCCAGGATTCTGTGCAGAAGTGCAAAGAGAGCTTACCTGCCAGGTTGACTGTGTCAGGTGAGTAAGTTACCTGTAGTGTGTGAGAGCGCTAACCAGACATCTGTATAAGAAAAATGCACCCCTTGTTTCTGATGTAATCTGAGGATTCTGTGTAAGAGCTGTAAGCTTTACTCATAGGACAGTTATAACTTGGTTATCCCTAAAACCGTTCAAAGGATAATGATTGAAATGTTGGTCAGGGATGCTAGAGCTAAGGCTCTCTCCCTTCTGTAAAATTGGGGTTTCTTGAAATATTTGCAATACTCTATTAGCAATAGTGTCTCTCACTTAGCTATTTCTAAGAAACCTTGATTTTCTTGTACAATACTTACTGCTCTTGAACTCTAAGGATTTACTGCTTCGTTAGCAGCAAGGGATCAAGGAAAAGCACCAGGATTGTATACAAACTAAAGGGTTTCTTTCCCTCTTGAGTTCAGTAACTGGAAGAGAATAATTAGACATCCAGCATTAGTATCGCATTCTCCGTTATTGTTGTTATTATTGTATGCCGCTTTATCTCTCAAAGTGGCTATGTTCCCTATGACAGTGTCTTATTTTTAAGTTGACAAGCAGTGACAATATAGGGCTCCGGCTTTGCATGAATTTCAGAGCTTTTTTGTCTCTTTCTAGAAAACACAGATTGCTACCCAGAAGTTATATTCTTGGGAACTGGCTCTGCAATCCCAATGAAAATCCGGAATGTTAGCTCCACTCTGATAAACATTAGGTAAGTATTGTCAATTTGCATAATGTGGGGCATGCTATCTCTCCTAAGGAGGGATGAGCAGATAACATCAATAGGAATCATGATGCATGACAGGAACTTCAGTGCAGTTGCTTGCCAAATACTGTCCTGCAGGACCTCTGCAGAAGGTAGTCTTATTTATTTATTTATTTATTCACTGCATTTATACCCTGCGCTTGTCAACCCCATAGGGAACTCAAGGCCACTTACATATATGGACAACAATTAGATGCCAAAAACACACACATAAAAAACATAAGCATTAAAACAATAATTAAAACACAATAAAACCTTAAAATTAATTATTTAAAATAATGCAATCCAGTATTGTAGTCCGTGGCTGTTCCAATTTGTCATTGCACTACTTCATCTTTTCTTTTTGCACTAATAGATTACTCATTGAATGCTTACCTTTTTCCTAAAGGTTAGGAGGGAGGGGGCTGATCTAATTTCATTGGGGGAGGGAGTTCCATAGCCGAGGAGGGGCCACCACTTAGAAGGCCTTGTCTCTCATCCCTGCCAACCATGCCTGCGAAGGAGGCGAGACTGATAGTAGGGCCTCTCCAGAAGATCTTAATCTTCTTGCTGGCTCATAGAGGGAGATACGTTCAGAAGGGTAAACTGGGCTTGAACTGTTTAGGGCTTTATAGGCTAAAGCCAGCACTTTGAATCGTGCTCAGTAGTAGCCTGGCAGCCAATGGAGCTGATGCAACAGGGGAGTTGTATGCTCCCTGTACACTGCTCTGGTGAACAGCCTGGCTGCTGTCCATTAGTCTACTTGAAGCTTCTGAACAGTCTTCAAAGGCAACCCCTTGTAGAGCGTGTTGCAGTAGTCATTTTGGAATGTAACAAGTTGTTGGACCATTATGGTCAAGTCTGGCTTCCCAAGGTATGGGTGCAATTTGCGCACAAGTTTTAATTGTGTAAAAGCTCCCCTGGCCACCACTGAGACCTGAGGTTCCAGACTCAGCAATGAGTCCAGGATCACTCCCAAGCCTTCACCCATAAATAAAAACGTGTAATTTATACGTTGTATTTATAGCAGCTGTATAGCATTAGCTCTTAGGGTGATGTTCAGTTAAAACCAATTTAGTAAAAAAAACACCCTGTCTAATAGCATATTAAACAATTTTAATAAAATTTCAAAAGGCAAATTTATGTACTTGAATAGATTTGGGTAAAATGGTTAGACTCCTATAAGCTCTGATAAAAACCCATATTTTAATTTAGAAGTGAAATGAATCCAGCATTGGGACCAGTTAGTCTTTGTGGGGGTGGTATTCCGCAATGGGAAGGTCCTCCTCCTCTTCCTCACTGTGTGGGGTGTCTCTGGTGGGATATGGAGGGCAGCCACTGCAACAGACCAGAGCCCATGGGCAGCCTTGCATAGCCTGTGCAATTCTTCTATGTATTGAGGGATTATAAATGACATCCATGACAATCGTGAAGTCAAAGTGCAGATGTATTAGTAACCAGTGCTGTTCCTTTAAATATTTTTGTAAGCTGCTCCTAGTATTGCACTGCACTCAGCTTCCAAGTCCTCTTTAAGGGAAGCCTCACACAGAACACATTGCAGCAGTGTAATGAAGTCACTAACACATGAACAACTGTGACCTGTAGTTTGTAGATTGGTTGAAGTTGCCCTGGACAAACACTGCCACAGAGTTCTCATGGGCTTCCAGTGTTATAAAGGGACTCAGGACTACTTCCAAGCTAGACACCTCTTTCAGCAGGGAATGTAGCCCTATCCAGGGCAGGCTGCTTACCCATTTCCCAGGTTTGAGAACTCTCAGTCCACAGAGCTTACATCTAATTGGGATTCAGCTTGAGTTCCTTGGCAGTCATCCAACCCATTACAGCATCCAGGACCTGCACAGCCTGAGCTGACTCTGATTATGAAGAAAGGTAGAGCTGACTGTGATCAGCATACTTGAGGGCACCCAACCTTTAAAAAATAGCAGGTGCACACTTTCCTTATCTCCCTCCTGTTCAAGCCGACCTTGGTCTTGCGACCAACGTGGAGATATAGGTAGTAGGTGGCTCCCTGCTGTGTAACAGCCCCCCCCCCCCAATTTGAAAATTTATTTGATCCTACCATTAAATGCTATTTGCAGGCTCTTGAAGAAAATATCTTTATTAATTATTTATTTAGTAAAATACGACATTTGTGTATCAAATCTAAATGTTCAGGCAACTTCTATTACAAATTAAAAAGAACGAAAAGTGGAAAATTAAGAAATGTGGTTGCACTCATGGGTAATCATATCAGAGAGTGGACAAGGCTAAAGCTGTGGAATCCTTTTAATTCATCATTGATTGACATTTGTTGGGGAGGGGAGCCAAACAGACCTCACCAGAGCAGGGATTTATATAACTTGGGTTGGAGGAATAGTAAAAGCTTTTTCTTGCTTTGCTTTCCATTGAGATGGTGGTTTGATACTCAGCAGGGTCATTTGACTTGACCTTTCCCATGAAGAAGTACTTGTGATTTCTTCCAAGTGCAGTCCTTCATCTCCTTTGGTACATTGGACAGACATGCCAATAGATTCAACTGAATAATTATTCTTCCAGTGCTACTCAGTCTCTGCTTCTGGATTGTGGAGAAGGAACATTTGGCCAGCTTTGCCGCCATTATGGAGATGAAATTGACAAAGTGCTGTGTAACATTGCAGCAGTGTTTGTGTCTCATATACATGCTGATCATCACACGGTGAGTATCAGGGTGGGTTATTAATGTTTCCAATAAATGTTTTTTTTCAATATTTTTATTGAGTAAATCTTTTTGCCACCATTATTTCCAGATAAACATAGAAAGTTTAAGTAAATGATTTGTGTAATTAATCTTGTGTAACTAAACTGCAAGCCGTTATGAAATGTCTGCAATATTTATACAACCACCTCAATTTGTTGCCACCATTGTCCTCATAATAAATGGTGGGCATAAGCAACCCCTTGTTTCTAAGGCTGTAGTAGGATAAAAGTTTTCCCTTAACATTAAGTCTAGTTGATTCTGGGGGGTGGTGCTCATCTCCATTTCTAAGCCGAGGAGTTAACGTTTTCTGTAGATGCTTTCAAGGTCATGTGGCCGGCATGACTGCATGGAGTGCCATTACCTTCCTGCTGAAGCGGCACCTGTGGATCTACTCACATTTGAATGTTTTCTAAATGTTAGGTTAGCAGACACTGGGGCTAACAACAGGAGCTCACCCTTTTCCACTGATTCGAACCACTGACCTTCCGGCCAGCAAGTTCTGTAGCTTAGCAGTTTAACTCACTGTACCTCTGTGGCCCCTACAAGGCTGTAATAGCATAGAACATTTTACTTTCTGAATAGTTGGTGTTAGACAAAAGGATTTTCTTTTTGCTGCTTTGTGAATGAATGCATCTTCTGCAGATGAACTGTTATTTTTCCCATTTTGCAATCTACATCTTAAAGAGAAGTGTGGAGGAAACTATTTATTTGCAATGCGTCCAATGCCCACTTGTATTTTCAACAAATTGGAATTCTTTCTCCTAGGGCTTGTTGAATATCTTGTTGCAGAGACATCGTGCATTTGTAAGTACTTTAAAGTTAAAATTCTAGTGTTATAAGTGTGACTTAACGAGTTAGTCCAGATTTTTGAAATACAGTGCCTTACACCTTAGCTTCTTTCTGCTCTAGATGACGCTGGGCCAGTCCCCTAGCCCACTGTTGTTGGTAGCGCCCACACAGCTCATGACGTGGCTGCATCAATACCATGACCATTGCCAAGAAATCCTGGGACACATCAAGTGAGTAGGTATTCCCTATGTGTTAATGTGAAATCCTGAAGTATTGCTGACACCTAATGTCATGAGGTGTCTAAGCAATTTATGTTAAAACAAGTTGCATAGTGAGACATAAAAATAATTTTCAAATAAAATTAAGACTACTTCTTGGCCAGGGAATGGCTTTGTATACAAAGTTGTTGTTGAACCTTTTTTGTACCTCTCTGGTCTCTGGTGTAGATCATTCCAAAGATAGGTGGCAACATTGGAAATCCATTTTTGTAGCCAGATAAACTTTTTTGGTTTTGGAAAAGCTGATAAAGCCCTAAACTGTGTAACCCATTAGTAGATAGCATTAGTCTCTATTCAGGTGAGTCATTGCCCCTACAATAGCCTATTCGTCTTGAAAGGGCAAGATGGATTAGGCTATAAGGAATGACTGGCCCAATTTTACTTAATGAATTACGAATCCAACTTGACATTTCGATCTGCATCTCCTCAATTAATCTGACACTTTTAACATTTGTGCTGGCATCATTCATGCATTCAAATACATCATAACCTCAGATAGGAATATCCACGGATTGTAATTTGTATAGTATTTTTTTCTACTGGAAAACATCCTTGGAAATATCTGTGGCACAGAGAAATCATCTCATTCCACCATTAAAGACTCTGATATGAAGAAAAGGCCATTGTGTAGAAGAGACACCCTGTAAATTTTGCTTTGCAATTATTTTTGAATGGCTGCAAAAAACTCCCACTAGCTCTCCTCACCCTCTTTCTTTTTTTCTTTCTATCTAACTTTGTTTGCTTCTATCACATGTAATGTGCTGAATGGCAAGGAGTCTGTTGGAAACTCTTTGATAATAACATCTCTAAACAGGATTGTGAAGATGTATAACGTATACATTTTGAAGAATAAAAGTAAGCCCTACTACACCAGCTAGGAAGAATTTCATTTCCACTGTAAGACTTAGAACTTAGTTTCTACTTTACTGAAGATATGGGTAGAACTGGCCCCTCCCAACTTTGTGTTTTGGACCCCATGTCCTTGTCAAGATGACCAGTGGTCAATATTTGTGTTTTCTTGGAGCACCAGCTTGCTCTAAGGTACTGTTTAAGGGCTGGGAAAGTGGATTTTGCTGTTTGGGAGCAAATGAAAGATAAGAATTTGGGAAAGAATGAGCTTATCTAGGCTTTCTAGGGAGAATTAGGAGGCCCGTGAACCTAGAGTGCTCATGAGCAACCCCCACCCTCCCAAGCATGGCTAACAGCTCTGAGTCCCCTTGGGGACAGAGGGCGGTCTATAAATAAAGTATTTATTATTATTTTATAATGGTAATAGGTTCTGAGAATATATTTCGAAATGGTTGAAGGACCACAATTTCTTCACACCTGACTCAAGAGCTTAATTTGCTGCCTCATGATGACTTAATAAGGATTATAGCTGCTGCTATCCAGTTGGCTAGATCTCAGAGAAAATGAAAATATCAGTTAAATTTAACTATGTGGTTTCTTTCCCCTTACAGCATGATTCCTGCCCGGTTTTTAATAGAAGGGTGTGATGTCTTTAAACCTAAAGCAAAAGCATTCATTGCCTCGCTTTTGGAGAAGTATGACTTTGCAAAGGTAAGGCTGGTGTGGAGTGAGGTAGGTTAGGGAGGGGCACACAAAAGAGATCTAAGGTGGCTGATGTATTGTGGTATTCAGTTTCAGACATGTCTAGTCCGACACTGCAAGAATGCTTTCGCTTGTTCCATGGTCCACAAGTCTGGGTGGAAAATAGTCTACTCTGGCGACACCATGCCCTGCGAGGCTTTAGTTGAAATGGGTAAGTTTTGTACAGTTTGGCTTCACCTTATCCAGAAATCTGAAAATCTCTAAAACCTGAAACTTTTTTGCCATCAGCTGCCTACTGCTACCTTTGAGGTAATGGTGCTCTTCCTCATTTGTCTCCCAGTCTTTCTCCAACCTCATATGAGATGAGAAGCTGGAGAGAAATGGAAAGATGGGTATTTTTGCTAGGTTGCTCTCATTCCCCCTTTTCTCCTTTATCCTCCACTTTTGTTTCAGTCAGGACTGACAGGGTGAGGGATAACAGGGTGCCCCTCTCCCTCCTTTTCAGTCTTTTATTCTCTCCCAATCTTCTTCCCCTTTTCTTTCCATTTTCTTACAGAGGGTGGCAGCACTGTTGGGGAAGGGCTTCTCTTTTTTGATCCCTTTGGTTGTTTCCTGCAGGGCAGAACTGGAGAGCAGAGAAAATATATTGGGTTTAGCTCTCCCTTCTAATTCCTCTTTCTTCTCCGTGACTATGCTGGGTCACATTAGAGTTGTCTTTCTTTCTTTCTTTCTTTCTTCCATCCTCTTTCTCTTTTTATTTTCTCTCTCTTCTCTCCCTTTCTCCCATTTTTTTCCTCTGCCTATTTCTCTGCTGCCCCCTCGAAGCTATCCGCCAGCCATGTGGTATTCCTTATAGTGGTTCTTTATTGCTCCTTCCCTTGATAGACAACACAAATAGAGAATGAATGAAATGTTAGGCTTCAGAGACGTGAGGATCTGTGTAATGATAGGAAGCATCATTACTTGTGCATATACAAGTACAGGCAGTCCCCAAGTTACAAGCATCCACCTTACATATGACTTCTAGTTACAAATGGAGGTGAGACAACAGGAAGTGAGAGAAATCTACCCCCAGGAAGGGAAATCCACTCCTGAAAGACTTATCATGGGAAAAAGGTGTCTCAGATGAAGCTTTATCACCATTCCTTGTTTCCACGATAACCCAAACTTTTCAAAATCCAGTTGTCACAGGGACAGAAAATGAGGTGAAATTTTCTGAACAGAAGCATAGACAGCAAAACAAAAAAACCAAAAAAAAAAAAAACCAAACAAAAAACCTTACAGGTTTGCTGTCCAAAAAACAACCCATACTTTTGGCTGGAGTTCCACTTAAAAATGTACCTGTTCCGGCTCACATACAAATTCAACGTACAGAACCAATCTTGTTCATAATCTGGGAACTGCCTGTTTTCTGCAAATTTGAACAAATCCAAAACACTTCTGGCCCCTACATTTCGGACAAGGTACACTTAACCTGTGTATAGCCTTTTAGATTTTAATGTACAGTGCATTTATGAGACTGTACCCCACTCTCCTTATACTGGTCTATGACTGTAATAAAGATTTTTGATTTTTTGAACCTGTTTATATTTGTGGATATAGCCCGTTTCTACTAATGTTGTGGGGAAATCTAAATGCCTCACTCTCTTTAATGATGACTTCGGAAAATTACGCCTCTCTTCTTTAAATTGAAAAATCCTATTTTCACAGGAAGGAATGCTTCCTTGTTGATTCACGAAGCCACATTGGAGGATGGTTTGGAAGAGGAAGCTATAGAGAAGACACATAGGTAAAATAGTTTCTAGATGGGACTATATTGTTATTTCCTTAGATGGGAGCTGCATAAAGGAAAAGAACTTTTAGAGAAAATTTCAGTCTAACTAGTAATAACAAACATCTGGAGATATGCAATGTTCCCTAATACTCGTGGTAAGTTTGATGTAGGTACTCATTTTGATATGAATGTAGCTTTGACAAGATCTCAGCTGTGAAGTGTATCTTGGGTTAACTTTAGTTTCAGAAGCGAACAAGCCAACCATTGCATTATGCCATATAAATGCAACTTTATGCCATGAAAGAAAGAATTGTGTGCAGTGAAAAGCTACAGCATAATGAACTTTGGTTTCCCGGCAGAATGTCCACAGGTTAGGGCCAAACAATATTTCCTAGAGTGTAACTCTGTGGTGGAGTCAGCGCAGGAGCTCTGAGTCAAAGCTGTGCGTATTTGCACAGGGTTTTCGCTATTCTGTTGATAGTATTTGAAGTATTGTAGCAGTTGATAATAGCATCTGAAATGCTTCTACTCCATAGGAGGCATTAGATCAGGAATCATCATTTTGCGCCAGTGGTGTTATGTGCTTTTCACATCTTTCTAGTCCTTTCAGCTTTGAAGGATAACTGCTATGATAATGTGTGAGTAAGGGAGAGAGCTTATTTCTACTACTTTTTCTTTTCTATAGCACTACCTCCCAGGCAATTGGGGTTGGAATGAAGATGAATGCAGAATTCATCATGCTCAATCACTTCAGCCAGCGTTATGCTAAAATCCCTCTTTTCAGTGAGGATTTCAGTGAGAAGGTTGGAATTGCATTTGATCACATGCAGGTGGGTTAACCATATGCCTTAGGGTTCACTTACTCCTCTGTTCCCTGAAAAGCTTTTAGCAAACGAACCAGAAGGACTAAATGCAACATAGCCTTACTGGCAGATGAAGATGTGACCTGTAGTTTTGGACATACTGGTGCTTGTTGTGCTGCTTGACGGTGTGGCCTTCCTGTCAGAAAATGTTGGGGAGGAGTGGTGGAGCCCTCAAAAATATGGCTTTTGTCTTGGTCATCCAAACTTTAATGTACACTGTCTCTGACCATTAGCACTGCTTGTTGGAACTTATGTTAGTTGTAATCCAAAACATCTTCAAGGACCAATTTGAGATAAAGTATTTTGCTACAGGTTTTGTGATATGCTCCTTCCTGGTGTTTATAACTTCTGTAACAAATATGCTGGAGACACTGATGGTGATGCCATAGAAGAGAATACTCCAGCAACAAGGCAATGCTTTAGTTTGCATTACACTTTCCCGTCATGTGGTCTGCGTAGTTCAAGGGGAACTGAATGTTGGAGAAAGGAATTTCGTGTTTAGTATCCAGAGGATTGTCTCTGCACATGCTGTGTACATGTTTCACAAGGTTATGTAAACGGTCAGTGGGTGGAGATTCTAGCACTGTTCCCGCTACTTTTAACATTTTTTTGTTGTTGTTATCAGGTGCGCTTCTGTGATTCTGCTGCTATTCCAAAATTGATCCTGCCTTTGAAAGCCTTGTTTGCGGATGAGATCGAAGAGATGGAAGAGCGCAGAGAGAGACGAGAGCTGCGCCTTTTCCAAGAGGCAATGAAAATGTCTGAGGCCCGGACAGTTGATGGGAAAAAGGCACCCATGAAAACGAAATCGGAGCACACAGAGGATTCTCATGCAGCACCAAACAAAAAACTGAAAACGACAAATTGAGCAATGCAGCAGCAGAGAACTGCCTTTGTGCCTTTCTACCTGGTTGAGTGACATGCATGAAACGTGATCCTAGGAGGGATCTGCTCATACGAGCCGGTCAAGCTGTTTACTCCCTGGAAAAATGGTTTCTTCTACAAATGAAGTTCTTGCAGGAAACATTGTCCACATTACTAACAAAGTGTGATTCCGGACTACAATACCTAGAAACATGCTTGAACCTGGTAGCTCATCTAGCAGTTTACAGGACATACTTAATGTTTTCCCCCTTTACAAAGTCTCAGAGAAGCGATTGTAAAAAGTATTATATAAACATAAGGTGATCGGTTCACTGTAACAAAGCAATAGGCTCTCTGTGATTAGGAATGCTGTTCCTTATTTTGCAATTCACTAAATATCAGATGGAATGGATATGTCTCATAGAAGAGGATGTGTTGTGTTATAACTATGCATGCCTCAAGAAGCAATATTGGATCTATGAGATCAGTTTTAAAATATTCTTCCCTTAGTGCTTACAGCATAATGCTGCCTTCTTAATTCACAACAAAGCATACTATCTCTCCATTGTATTATCCTGGTATGTATACTGACTCCCTATTAGCTGCAGCTAGCAAGAACAGGGATGGTGGAAGGGATCATCCAAGGCTGTTTTTATCATGCAATTGCCCTGCCTCATTCATGGAGACTTTTGGAAGAAGGCAAATTGGGGAGGGGGGGGGGAGCATTCCAGTGTTTTCCTGACGCTGCTTCTTCTTGACTAGCTCTGTCTCTCCCCCATTGTTTAGAAAAGGAAGATAAATTAGGTACATAAGGCTTTTTTATTGCTAGATCTACCTGTCTGGAGAAGCAGCCCCAACACAACCTGAATGCCCACAGGGTTTCTGATCCCGCATTGTCCTTTCACTTACGTTGGGTTGGTTCAGCATTTTAATGAGACAAACCTCTTTAATAATCCTCAGAATTTGCAAACAAATGGAGGCAGGCACTTGGGTATCTGGAAAAGAGGACAAAGGTAAACTTGAAGATTGCCATAAAGGGGATTCAGTGAAAGAAGATATATGGGTAGTTGTATAAGACCTGTGAACCAATTTAGGGTTTTTAAAGGGTGGACCATAAAGAAATAGTCAAAATTGTGACATTCTTACTAATGCAAGTTCATAAAGAATTGTGTTGGGAAGAAATCCCTGGTCTCTGTGTAGTACTTGTGAGTATATTCGCATGGTCTCTTAAGTTCTAATTTTGTAACGAAAAATGATTTGGGGTCTGTCAAAAGTGGTTTGCTGCTGAGAGAAAATCCTGAGAAAGTCACTGCTGGCTGCTGACATGTCTCTTCCTGCAATGCCAGGCAATTCCAAATGTTTGACATTGGAGTGGCCAGCTGCTAAGATATATGTGGTGAAGTTGGCCCAAGAGCTCAAGGGACAAGATTTTGGGTGGCTGCTGCTTGTGTACAATACATGCATTTTAAAGGTTTTTTAAAAAAGTAAAAAATACATAAAGTTAGCTTTGTATTTGTAAAATAGATAAGGAAAATTAGCTGAAATTAATACTTAATTAAATATTGAATATAAGTGCCACTCCACTTATTTGCAAATCATATTCCCTCTACTTGGTTATTATTGAATTTAAATTTATATGTAAATGAACCTTAAATGTACTTACTTGACTTCTGTTAAAATGATATTGATTACTGATGCTTGAATTAAGAGGAACTAAATTTATTGATTTTAACAATACTGGGAGTAATTACTCTTCCATATGACTATTATGCATTTAGCAGATTGCTGCCAAATTTTGACAGCAAACTGGTTTCTAAAAAATCAGAATTCTTAGTGGTACTGAGGGCCACATAAAATGAGGCCACAGGTTGCCTATCCCTACGTTGGTTCATTTAAACTTCTACATCCCTCCCTGTCTGTGGTTTTGAGGTTTGTGGATTTGATTATTCACACATTTGTTTAAAATGTATCTGGGAATCTCTCAGTTCTCCTAGTGCACTGGTTCTCAACCGGTGGGTCCCCTGATGTTTTGGCCTTCAACTCCCAGAAATCTTAACAACTGGTAAACTAAGAGCCGCCGCAAACTAGCCTCCTGCGGGAGCAAACCTTGCCAGCACGTCCCTGACGTCATGAGACTCCGCCTCTTGCCCCGCCCCTTTCTCAGCCTCTTTCTCTGTGCCAGAGTGGTTTTTCTTTTGCTAGGGCAGCATTGCCAGCGTACTCTCGTTGTTGGCAGAATTCAACGAGAGTACGCTGGCAATGCTGCCCTAGCAAAGGAAAAACCACTCTGGCATGGAGAAAGGGGCGGGGAGAGAGGCGCAGTCTCATGACGTCAGGGACGTGCTGGCAAGGTTTGCTCCCGCAGGAGGCTACTTTGCGGCGGCTCTAAGATTTCTGGGAGTTGTAGGCCAAAACACCTGGGGACCCACAGTGTGAGAAACAGTACCCTAGTGTGACTTCATAGTCAGCTTCCTCCTGTGATTCTGAAAGACCTTGAGATTTCTAGAGAAAATACCTCTAGTTGTCCATAGTAACCTATGGATGTGAGAGCTAGACCATAAGGAAGGCTCTGTCAAGGAAGGTAGACACTTTTGAACTGTGGTGCTGAAGGAAAATCCTGAGAATGCCTTGGGCCGCAAGAAGATCCAACCAGTCCATACTCCAGGAAATGAAGCCCAACTGCTCATTGGAGGGAAGGATAGTTGAGGCCAAGATGAAGTACTTTCGCCACATCATGAGAAGACAGGAAAGTTTGGAGAAGACAATAATGTTGGGGAAAATGGAAGAAAAAGGAAGAGGGGCTGACCAAGGGCAAGATGGATGAATGGCATCCTTGAAGTGACTGGATTGACCTTGAAGGAGCTGGGGGTGGTTGCAGCCAATAGGGAGCTCTGGCGTGGACTGGTCCATGAGGTCACGAAGAGGCGGAAACGACTGAACGAATAAACAACAACACTGTTATCGCTAGTTCCATCCAATTTTACGGCCAGCTTCTGACAGAAGTCAACTGTAAAGCAATGCTGGAAGACTGGATGGTCCAAGTGGTCTCTTCCAACTCTATGATGTATAAATCAGAAATGTCTAAAGAGGTGTTCTTTCAGGATAGGGGTGTTGCATTTTTTCATTATAGTGGAAATTGCTGGCCTCTATTCCTTGGCAACTTTGGGGGTTCTTTTGCAGTGGAAATTGGTTGTCTAGTTGGGTGTGACATTTTGCAGATTGCAGCTGTTGAGCTGGAGATTCCAGTCCCATGTGAATCAAAATGTTAGGAGCTGCAGACTTCAGCCACTGCAGGATAAGGTTATTGAAAGTGGTACAGTTTTCATGTTTGGGAGGCAAAAAGTGCCAGGGGCAGACCTCTTAAGTCAGGATCTTCCTGTCCTGTGCCTCCCCATGCCCCCATGCTCTTTGCCAGTAGTAGCATAAGAAAGGGAGAAAGAAATTGTATTGCTGTTCATCATTTCAATATGGCTTTTCTTTCAAAACTCGCAGTTTTGAATGCTGAACTGGGACGCCGGGGATTGGGTGGGTGCGTAGGTAGGTAGGAAATATGTCTACAACAGACATGGGCAAATTTTGGCCCTCCAGGTGTTTTGGACTTCAACTCCCACAATTCCGAATTGTGGGAGGTGAAGTCCAAAACACCTGGAGGGCCAAAATTTGCCCATGCCTGCTCTACAATGTAGAATTAATGCAGTTTGGAATCACTTGAAAGTGCCATGGTTCAAGACTCTGGAATCTTGGGAGTTGTAGTTTTAGCCTTCTCTGCCTTACCAAACTATAGCTCCTTACAATGCCATAGGAGCTCAAGTGGTATTGAACTGCATTATTTCTATAGTGAAGATGCTCTCTGGGAGACCAGGCTATGAATCTCCATTCAGCAGTGGAAAATCACTGGGAGAGGGGGGCTCCCTTGCCTGCCTTCATGGCTGCAGTCATGTTCCCAGCCTCAAAGGAAGGCAAAGGAAACCTCTTTGGTTCTGGTGTTCTATACTGAAAGAGTTTAAGATCACATCTTTTGAAATAACTACTGATAGAAACAGATGTGAAGCTGGGTTGCTGCGAGTTTTTTGGGCTGTATGGCCATGTTCCAAAAGCATTGTCTCCTGACGTTTTGCCCACATCTATACCAGGCACGCTCAGAGGTTGTAGGGTCTGTTGGAAACTAGGCAAGTGAGGTATATATATCTGTGGAAGGTCCAGGGTGGTAGAAAAAACTCTTGTCTCCTTGAGGCAAGTGTGAATGTTGCAACTGGCCATCATGATTAGCATTGAATAGCCTTGCAGCTTCAAAGGCTGGCCAATTCCTGTCAGGAGAGAATGCTTCTGGAACACGGCCATACAGCCTGGAAAACTCATGGCAACCCAGTGATTCCAGCCAACAGATGTGAAGCACTTCACATCAGTAGTATGAGTTAATATGAGGAAGTTCAGAAATTTATAGGAGCTGGGGTGGTGCAGTGGTTTGAGAACTGGACTATGAGACTCGAGAGACAGGAGTTCAAATCCTTCCTTAGCCATGTAAATGCATGGAGTGACCTTGCTGTGAAACAACTTGGAGTGCATCTACACTTCAGAATGAATGCTGTGGTATTGTTGGAGCTGTGGTTTGTGAGGCACCAGCGCTGTTGGGCAGAGAAGGCTAAAAGGCTTTGTGGAACTACAACTCACATCATTCCATCGCACTGAACCATGGAAGTTTAAAGTGGTGTCAAGCTGTCTTCATTAGGTAAAGGTTTCTCCTGACATTAAGTCTAATTGTGTCCGACTCTGGGAGACGCTTCCAAGTCAAAGAGCCGGCATTGTCCATAGACACCTCCCAAGGTCCTGTGGCTGGTATGATTGCCTGGAGCACCCGCAGAAGCAGTACATATTGATCTACTCACATTTGCATGTTTTTGAACCGCTAAGTTGGCAGAAGCTAGGGCTAACAGCAGGAGCTCACCCTGCTTCCCGGATTTGAACAGCCGACCTTTTGGTCAGCAAGTTCAGCAGCTCAGCAGTTTAACCTGCTGCGCCACCGGGGGCTCCCTTCATTATACAAGTATAAATGCCCTCTGCCTTGAAGGTAAGCAGCAATTATAATATTATGTAACAAAATTTGGGAAAAAAAACTGTTCCTGTTTGGAAAGTGTTAAAGGTAAAGGGTTTTTTTT